CACTTCTTCCATCACGCTAAGGTTTATCACTCAAGAGTAGAAAACTGGAATTTTCTCTCCTTGGGATAAGGTTCGCATTTCACTGCCACTATTGTAGTGGAGTGAGACTTCGCTGAGGACCAATGAAGATAAACTATTCAGTTAGAGCATGTATTGTTGACGCAGAGAAGGGTTTCGGGGATTCTGGCTTAGCCCGAACGGCATGCCGCCCTGCGCAGGTACAATGGTGAGCCACTAGGTGGGTTGTTACCAAAACCGGCAGGTAAACAAACAAAGTATTACATCTACTTTCTTAAAATCTGTATGCAAGGTAGAAAAACTGTACAATATATGCTTCGCTGCAATGTTTATTTTCTTATTATTTTCATTAATTCTAATGAGATTCTGTTTGGTCTATCCACCGATAGACCACGGTCTCTATTCTCCCAGAATTTTACCGTGAAAACACGGTTGGCGCAGTGGGGACTTTGAGCTAGCTACGAGGCGACAGAATTTACAGCGAAGGAGGGAGACGTTGTTTTCGTTAGAAGAAGGTCGCAAAATAAATAAGATCATTTTTTTTCCACCAGAAGGCCGTTGCGCAAAGGATTTTTAGAATAATTTTAGAAGTATTTGCCATTACAAGTGGCGTCGTTCCAATTTAAGGAAGCTAGAATTTATCAGAACTTCCTCGAAAAATTCGCTGAGGGAAAAGTTTTTGCATTTAACCCAAGGCAGGCAACCTCAGCGTCATTGTTTGTAAAACTGCAGGACTTAATGTCGTTTGAGGTTATAATGTGTCAAATGGCTCACCAAACTGCAGCAGGTAGGTTCGGTAGCCTCGAGTCATATTTGGTATCCGTTTATCAATGCCAACTTGCGTGTTAAATAATATACCAAGGATAGACTGTCTTCAGCGATAGTAACCCTTATTTGATTGAAATAACGAAACTCGCCCATCTAGTCCAAATCCTTCATTCACAGATCATTACATACAATTCAATAGTAGAAGATCTAGGAGTCACAATTTGTTATCCTTCTCCAAATGTTCCTACACATGGGTTCGCACCTTTTACAATTCCTTCACAAGATTGGTTTTGCGTCCCCAACGGGTCCTCAACGTTTAGGCTTCCATTCACTGTGCGAATGGTTGCAGGACTGACTGGTGCAGTGGTGAGCCAGTAACTGGATCAGCGAGGCCACGATCAGTACTAATGGAAAAACGGCCCTGGTTAAATGTCAAATTTTAAGCAATTATCCCATTTCCGAATACCATCTGAAGGCTCCTGTAAATATTCACTCTTCTACTTTCTTTCAAAAGAGTTTACAACACTACTCGCTGGTCTTACATGTTCGGACTATCACAGTTCCCCTTTATTGCTAAGGTTCCCCGAAACGCCTAGGTATCCTACTCGATTGCTAACCTCTGGAAGTTCTAGAAGTTAAATTAATATTCAGTAGAAGTGTACCCTAACTACTCAAGGTCGGTTGCTACGCATATATGTAACTTGAATCCTCGGGACGAATACAGAGGTAGCTCGTAAACAACTCATTCTCCGGCAGTCTCTACTCTACAGGCACACTCTGGCCTCACCTCCCTCACACGCGCTTTTCGTCGGTCACAGATAAAGGCTTCTGGTTGGAAATGTCGATAGAATCCAGGACCTCGGTGGCAGAAACTCTAAGTCATAAAATTGGCAACCCATTTTATAGCACTTATACTGGTTAATGGTGCTTGGACTAGCCTAGATAATGTGATAGGGAACACTTGCCACTTACGTATGCAGTACTGCCCGGTAGAGTGTCCTTCTCAGCCGTACAATTTGAATTTCCAGTATAAATTTGAGTAACTAAGGAAATAAGGGACGGCTCTTAAAGTCTTTCAACTAATAAATTTCAGCTGTCAACTGCGTGAGTAAAATAAGGAAGAATGGTGCTTGGTTGCTTCTAAACAGAATCTAAGTCCATCTCTTCAATCCTAAGATAAACAGATAAAAACCTAAATACATGTGGTATGAATTTTGGGGATTTTTTTGTTGTTACACAACTAAAACTCACTTCAAAGAGAACTAAAATTAGCAATCCACTAAATTAGAAGTAGATTTGTGTTGAAGAACGGTAGGTTAAGCTGGAGATCATATACTGAGATACAACAAATGTACAAGTGGGACCTGGTGCTGCTTCATTTGTACTTTATGAATGCTTAATTACTTTGGAAGTCGAAATTTTCCCTCTGATCAGCGTTGCCGTATTTCATTTTTTACACATTTTACATCAGTTCTGTTTTCAGACAGATTGCCGTTATCTATTTTATTGATAAGCGAATTATTAAAAAGACACTTTTTATGGAATGGATGAAAGAAGATTGATAAAATCGGCAAAGATCAGTTTTTCTCCCTTATTGAAGAACTCCACCATCAGTCACAGTAGCTATGAATAAAGCGTTTGAACAAGATGGTGTGGGGTTAAAATTTTCTGCAAATAACTATGCATCATAAATTGTTGCCCAGATATCCCATTTTTAAGTGTTAGTATTGTGATCAAATGGAGTTTTCTCAATTGTTACAAGTGTATTTGTCAACAGCACATGAGAATATTTACACATTGATAAAGGCAGTATTGTAATACTTTAATCTTTCCAGCCTTCTGTTTTGGTTTCATGAGTATTTAAAGCTCCGCTATTGTACTCTCATTGGGTGGAATGGCCTCTAAGCAGTGCCAGCAGCCATGTAGTCCCTCTGTACATCGGCAGTACACATTCTGCCGTTTTTGGGAAAGCCTCAGATCTCCACAACATGTACCTGATAAATGAAATATTTTCTATAAATGTAGAACATTTTGGTGGCACACCGACAAAGTAATTTGCTAACATGGTAGAAAGAAGACCATAAATGCAAAAATCGGTTTTGTCTCCTATGACTTTAAAATAGTTTAATTATCTACATACATTCAAATGGGCTTCAGAAAGTGAGAAGGAAATATTCTACTCAAAATAAGTTATTTCTTTTAAAATTCAAGAGTAAAGACAAGAATACTTAAGAATTTGCCTTGCTACTGCAAAGGTCTTAAAGTCTTTTTAGAAATTCAAGCTTTATATTTTTGTGGGATGTTGCGGGTTAATCTAGTAATAGAAGGCGTTTCGCTATTCAGCAAACGATTTGCCGCCTAAGTCAAACCAACTGGGAGTTTTTTGTCATTGTCAAAAATAACTGAGCAGCATTTTGCAGGCCGTGGGTTTTAGTTAAATAGTCTAGGTACTCTGGTACAAGTTAATGAATACTTAGAGCTCCATGCAGAAAAAGTCATTCATAACACATCACATAAGTTCAGAAATGTGTACCTGGAAGTAATTGAAGATTTAATTGTAGTGCTCCGATTCTTGCCCAAAGTTGAAAGAAGGTATAGTACTGGGGCAAAAATGTATTGACAACGTAGAGAAGGGCTGAACTTCAAGATATGCCAACAGCCCAGAGGCCACGAAACAATAATTAAAAGTTAAACTAAAAATCCAGATACTACATAGCTGTCTCCTTTTGAGCAGTGTCCACGAAACTCCCTATTGTCAAACTCCCACGTCGGCCAACCCAACGTAGTTGGTGCTGTAAGAAAAGCATACATGAACCAGCCGCGCCAATCATCAAATTTGCATTCAACAAAAACGATATTTGACCTCAACGTTACTGATTTTTCTTGATAATTCTACTGGTTTTGCAGTTTCGTCCTACTTGGGAACTGCATTGGGGGAAGGCGAATGTGCTGGCCGTCACGTAAGTCCATCGCCATTCGTAGGAACACTGACCTAAATAGGAGTTTATTAAGGTTCTGACAGATATGTCTTTGCGTCTCCTCATTTTTGTCACCTTGTTCCTAATTCAGTGATGCCCAGGCATATAATTATCCTGATTTTTAGCCAGCAAGTAGAGAGGTGAAGGGGTGTCACGTGCTCGCTTTATTAACATTTTCATACGGGCACGGTAGACAACTAGTGTCTCTTCAGCTGTTAAAAACATTCCTGAAAAATACGAAATGGTAGTAGTTGGCACAGACAACATCATTAAAGCGCTTTTGTTGGGCGTCTTTACGAATTATTTCATCCTCAGCAAATGCTGTTCTTTCACTACCTTGTTTAGCCTTCAGTAATGGAAATCAAGGGAGTCGTCATTTAGCATCGGGTCTGGTAGCCGCTGCCACCGACGTTGCACCCCAAATCTTTCTGGTGGTGGTAAAAACACCTAATTCTAGGGCGGAAAATGTACTACAAACGAAGAGATGGGTGACATGACTCAGACGCCAAGCCTCCCAGTGGAATTACAGCGGCGAAGCCTTAAGTGTCTGCTCTGCCAAAATGAGGAATTGAATGAATAATTAGTGTTACAAAACATAAAATGAAACCTATGTGAGGGCAAATTACTATCATTTTAAGAAGGCTTATCCTATCCGCACGAAATTTAACATCCTAGCTACTTATTTTACCACTTATAACAACCAATTAAATATAAGCATCAACAGATGATTTATTTTTTAAAGGCACGATTTGTCCATTACCTGCTTTAATGGTTTACTGGATGCTTATTTAAGTGAAAGACTCCATGATGTCTAGTAAACGCCTAATGTTTGATAAAGGCAAATCCTGTACATTCATAGACATAATAAAGCTGTCCTTAATAAATTTTGGTAATATTATCGAGCATTCGCAGACAACCTATCAAAAGTTTTCCATTCTGGATTCTTTTGAATATTGCATGTCAGAGCTGGATAAAATTGATGCCAAATGGCAAGTTTTGTCAGATCAACAAATCTTCATTAGAGGTCACCGTAGAATTTGCAACATTGGTGAAAATTTGTCCGCAAGACTTGCGTCTTAAATATTAAAGACAACGTTCTACCACCTACGGAATTTGAAAGGCATCACTATGAGAACGGAAGTAATATGAATACCCTGAAAGAAGTAGCTCCTAATCTAAAGAAGGAATTACAAAGGAAAACGTATTTGTAATGTACTAACTACACTGTAATATGATGTTTAACTTCACATTTTGGTTTCGCAGGCACTGAATGCCTGGCACTTGTACTTCCGACTGGTGACTTGGCCTGGAGGACATGCAAGTAGCAATACATAGGCTGCCTTAAGGCGCAAAAGCTTTACTTTTAATTCTATTTCTTATTATATACACAGGGCTTCATAAGTGCAGAATAATTTTTCAAAGTTGCTCATTACGTATTAGATCATTTAACGGTGAACAGTAGAACTTGTTTTGCATTACATGACAAGCTAATGAAAAGAAGAGTACAACTTACGTATCTATTGTCTTCCAAAAGCATTGTTCTCATCAATAGTGTTCTCCTCTAAATGATGCGGAGGCATTTTTTATTTTGTTTCCGCAAGGTGTTCAAAATATTCTCTGTTTTTTTATTTGATGAGAAAATTAGTCGATATAAATGCAACACCCTCTTGGACACCGTGAGCGAATTTGATACGCGCTCCGACCAAATTGACACGAATGTACTAAAAGAAAAAGGGAATGAAATATTTACTTTCTTCGTGCAAGACGATATCCAAGTGACAGTTCAATAAATGTTAGCTCCTTTCCGTCGCGAATCCATATTCCCTCCCGATACCTTCCACAGTGATGCAAACCGCGTGCTACGCATAACGGAGTTTGATGTGAATGTCTGAAGAAAAACCGTAAAATGATGTCTCCTTCACATTAAACTCCCGTTTTTGTCCTTTCATCAAATCGAAAATGTTTTTTTGCATCAGGATTTAATAACTCATAATTAAAAAATTCGCAAAGCCAATGTTTCGTTGTTGAACACATTTTTTTATCTTGAAGTAAAAGGGACCCTGGCATTATTGCCTTGCTGTCACCCTTATTTTACGGAATATACCTAGTGCGAAATGTGAGAGTAATGACAGTTTTTGAATGCAAAAAGAAAAGCCTATCCTCTGAAAGTTAAAAAAGAAGGAGAGAAATATACAGCAGACTGTTGTCTTCATTTATTCTACACAATAGTAGCAGCATCTGTTGTTAAAAGGTAACAGCAATTTCTGCGTTTTCTTTGGGTTAAATATATTTAGTGTGACCGTAACACTTTTAATTGCTTGTTTAACCTTTTGTATTGGTTACGCGGAAACTTAAGGCTCGGCTATGCTGCTTTTGATGGGTGTCATGGTCTCCGGGCCAAGCCAGTAGCAACCTCGTCTTTCTCCACATCGGCTGTATACACGCTACCCTAGTGGTATGCGCTCTTTCCTCTTTAGAGAAGACTCAGGGCGCTGCAAACAAACCCGATCCAAAAAGTCATCTGCCTGCTTTCTGTTGCTGAATGCCAAAACTTAACGAGACGAAAGAAGGTTGCATGTTGCAGATGAGAGAATTTGGGACGATCCCTAGTTGAAGGGTCAAATTGGTGTTTTCCTTCGCCAACTACCACACTCCCATGTTCTGCAGGAGGCATTAACAACTAAAGCGACACTAGACATGAACCATCTGGAGAAGCTCATTATGGAGCTGTCTACAGTACCCGTATGAAGATGATAATAAAGCAAGCACGTGACGCACCTCCACCTCCCCATTAGCTGGATAGAAGCCAGACAGCATTGAAATGAGAACAAAGTGACAAAACTCTTCTAAAGCGCGCACTTTATTAAATGATTCAACTTATGGACGAGTGTCTTACGACTGGCAAGGGATATACTAGCCGTCTAGCATATCCCTCTTCCCCAATACAGTTACTAAACAGGTCGAAACTCCATATCTATTGAGATATCCAAGGAGGATCAGGGATGTTGCACACATATTCCATGACTGCCACGGTTGGTTCCTCAGCGTTTTTCCCAGAGCACCAAATTTGTTTTGCAGACTGGCGCGGGGAGCTAACAAAGAGAATCTTAGGGGACCGCCATTTTGAAGAAGAGGGGTTATGTAAATCTGCAATTGTTTTTTTTAGTTCTTTCTGTTAGTTACATGGGTACTTAAAACTCTCTCCTCGTACCTTCCCTTGGTGGCCATGGTGGCAGTCCCTCTCCCCTTCCGTATTTCGCCAAAATATTTTCTCTTCTCAGTCTTGTTTTAAACGTAAAAACGGCCGTTGAAAATAATTGACATGAAATTTAACAACTGCCTTTATAATAATGGTAGGACTTGGAGCTGTTTGTGGTCTTCGTAATACAAAATAATAAAGCGAAAATTTAGTACATTCCTTTTTCCAAATGTATTCGACACGTTTTAACAAAGTATCCAGTCATTATCTTTTCCTATTCTCACCGAAATGGTACATGTAGCAAAAAACGATGGAAAGGGTCTCGAAGCAAAATCACACTGGTTAATTGCGATTTGGAGCGCTTTCGCTAAAATAAGAATAAAGAATTTCATAGACAAGAATTTGGGGATAACAAAGCTGCATACAGGCTCCCTTTCTAGAAACTTGGCGCAAAGACAGCAAATGTGATCATAATTGTGAAAACAACATGATTTTTCTTCATTGATCTTCTTTGAAAAAAACTTGTCAAAATTAGACTGCGGTTCCCTTCCCAATGCTTGATCCGATGCCCCGCTGTCAACTGTAGCGCCACCGTGACGATTTAGCAGAACAAATCATGGTGACACTCAATTCCTTGTTGCCTTTTAACTTGTGTTTCTCGTTTAGCTAATGTGTTTCCAATTTTCTGTTGGTTATGTTGAAAGTCAGATGATAACTGAAAGGATTTGTAAGTTTCACAATCTGGGGAATCTTCTATAACTTCATGATGCAGTCACAGATGGCTGTGGGGAAAGGTCTATCCCTAATTTAAAAATACATGGGATCAAAAAAGCGTAAGAGGGAGCGCCGGCTTACTACTGTGCAAATGACTATGTTCTAAGCTTCATCACTTTTGCTATAAAATTACCCCTCGAAATTCTAGGTATGGAAGCACGGGAAGCATATGCATCTCAGTTATTTTACATGAGCGAAGGATCTCTCGGGATGACTAAAAATGTTTTCCACATTTGCATGTAAATACACCAGTAGGTCATTTGGCAATTCGACCCGGAAATATCCATTCACCTGGATGTTCCTAATTTATCTTGCCTCTTAGCAATCAGATCCCATTTGTTACAAATTATAGATAAGAGGATAGTCCACGGCTTTACCGTGGTTTTATCTGCTGAAGGATTACCTCATCTCCACCTCAGATGCTACAGATTATATTGCGATTTCTGATATCTCTTTGAAGGCCTTGTGAGATGCGTGAGCGTGGGCGGAACTATAATGAAAGAGTACACAAGGTTTGGTGTTTTAACGGCACCAGTGACTCCAACGCAACCTCTGAGTCTGGTTGCAGGGCAGCCACAGGCTTGGCTGTTGAAACCCAGGGCTTCGCATCTGCATAATTACATGAACACTCACAGGCAGATAAAATGTGTGTTGTTAAGTAATAAGGCAAATTAGCACATGCTCTTCAGAAGGACAAGCTTTTTTAATGTAATGAATGAGTTTATTTGGTAACAAAGTTCAGATTTTCATCCCTATTTTCAAAATTTATCGTTGAAGTTTTCATTGTGGTACTTCTTTTTAAACAATAACTATCCTTGCGCCCTTACTGCCTATTTATATTCAGCAGTAAGATAAACCATGGTTGCGTGCCTCTTTCTAAAAAAGGATGATTTTAAATCATGTGCCAATTTCACTTTTCTGAATCTATCCCAAAATACTCCTGAAATGTAGGAATGGAGAATTTTAATTTCTTCTCCCTTAATTACTAAATATTTTGTACTAGTTCCCTCAAAGAGTATTGAATTGTGAATTTTTAATAAATTATCTGTTGGTTTTTAATAAATTTACTGTTAGTTCAACTGATTAAAATTGGAAATTACTTTGGTACTGCAACAATCACTTATTTAATGGTCATCGGAGGTAGTGCAGGGTTTATCCACCCCCCGTTTCTGCGTAGGATGAGCCTGGACATTTACGCTTACAGAAAAGTGAGGATAAAAGACACTAATTTTTAAGTCATTCATACACTCTCTGTTTGCTTTATGCGAGAACGTATCCATTTGGGTCAGTCTTATGACTTGACATTTGTTACAGTGTACTCAAATTTTTAGTGGATATGCATAACAAAAAATAGGACCAAAGAAAAGTACGTTTCAAACATTTACACATCAAAAAGCCTCAATACCACTGAAGTCGATGTCTTTTAAATACATCTGTCCATAGTACCAACGTCAACACTAGATTTTTATCCTAAACTAGTCAATCCAAGTTAACTCCACTGCTAAAGAGATAATACTTCGGTTGTTTATTTAACTCTTAGTTTCAATTATGCGGGCATTTAAGGCTCGGCCATGGTGTTTCCACTTGGTGGTATGGCCTTCAAGCCACGCCAGAAGCCCCAAGCCCTCCTGTACTTCTTCAACAGATATTCGGTCCTACTATTTTGAGTTCTTATGGCTTTAGGCAAGTCTTGGTGTGCTACAAAAGAATGAACGATGTATTTAAGTACTGCAGTGACGATAAAAGTCATCAATTTTTAATTACTTCATATTCAATTCAGTGTTACGAGGGCTTCTTAGAATCACTAATCTGTAAAGTGGCGTAAGCAGGTGTTATCATGCACTTTTGTTTAGTCAAATGCGGGGAAAAAGTCTTATCTCCCAGTTGTCATAAAATTTTTAGAGGTTAATTTTCCCACAATGTTACATTATAAATAGTTTTATCTTGACATCGGAACCCTGCTTCAATCTCTATGAGATGGAGCCATATTTCAATGTCGATTTCCGTTAGAGGTGTTTATTTTTCTGCCAAGAATTAGATCTCGAAAAAATATGCATCAGTGATAAAATCAAACTAGTTGTATTCAACAGGTATAAAAAAGGGTTTAAGGTTAATGTATTGCTCCGTATTTGGATGCATTGAAGCTGGATGGAGAGAGGAGGTAGTCTTCGTACAAAATTTTGTGTTCTTCTCATCTCTGTGAAGCAAACAAAATTAGTTTTCTTTTTTTGTAAGACATCAAGATTCTAGAACATGTACCTATAAAGACATCTTTTAGGTGGTCAACAGGAAGGTTGAACCATGCTTATTACCAGGAAGGTGGTATTGATGTCGTAGGAGGTGACAAACTCCACCGCGATTCCACAGTACTTGATGCCTTCCACAAATCAATCTTCGAGGTTCAGGGATACGAAACTGGAGATAGAGGAAAAAAAGGAAAGTCTGCATGAACGGCTATATTTAGGACCCTGTTTAGAGTCTTAAAACCGGTAACAGTATTAAGAGTTGCTTAAACGATTTCGTAGATTGTATGTGGCTATCTATTGTACCTGCTAAAATTTACTTGCATTACATAGAAACAAAAGATCGTAGTTACAAGCGCTTTTCACATTTGACAATCCCTAATTGTCAGGCAAAGTTCATGGACAGTGGATTTTCAAGGCTCTTCCAATGGATTAGCCAATCCATGCCAAGTATGAAAGGAAAGTAAAAATGTTTGATGGCTTCTCGTTTGTCAACTAATGGGTCGAAAATTTAACTCAGGTTTGCAATTCGCCCTTCGCTTTCTCATTAATTGTTCATACCCTCTCCGAGTAGGAAATTTACAAATTCCCGAATTTATCATGTGTAATGCTCTTAGCATTATTCTAATTTTAGAATCTTGGTCTTGAGAGCATTTAAGGCTTTGCAATTGTACTTCCACTGGGTGACATGGCCCAAGGACCAAGCTAGTCGAACCCAGGCCCTTCTCTGCCTCAAAAATACACAACATATCCAAATATCATGACTCCATCTTCGAGGCGGTCTTGGGTCTGACGCCATGATTGGATGTAAAGATACCTTCTGTTTTGACATTGTTATTAGCGCCTGCTTGGAGCATACGTTGTGAACGTTGTGTTTGTAGACATTCTTTCAATTTTTTGACAGCATATTAGTGGCCACTTTGCCCCAAAACGCAGTACCATAATCGTATTTTTAAATCGGACGACCAAAGTTAATCAAACTTACCATCGACTAAAGCACTTTTATCTTCAAAATTTGAACATCTGTTGGGATTTGTTTAGTGCCTACTGGGTAAGCCGATCATTTCGTAGTAAATTTTTCATGAATGGTACAAGAGATTGCACTGTTAACAAAGAAAATGTGGCTGTGAACCACTTGGCAGTGGAAAATCCCTCAAGCATTGAAAGAATATTTAATCGCTCTCAGGTGCACTTTATTATACAGAGCTGTCTTTGTATGGCGGCATTTTGTATGAAACCTACCTTGGGAATTTCAGAAAAGCCCGTTTCGACAATGCTGAAAGATACAAGCGGTGCAGTAAAGGCTGCAATGAGACTGGTGACATGTTAGCATGTTTATTGCAAAATATTAAAACAGAGGTTCTGCCATGTATTTCCTAGGGTCAGTTGACTTTAATGAAGCAATCAAGAAAATATAAAGGCTTTTTATAAGTTGGGGAGCTATGATATCTCACGTTGCCCTCTTTTTGGAATAAACTTAACTGAGGACACTCATTACATAGTCACATTAGTGTTAGACAATGGATATCATCAGATTAAAGACTAAGCATATTAAAACAAATTTAGTGTTTTGTATTAACTGAAATAAGCTTTGCGGAAAGAAATATATGGGGGCATTTATAGAGCAGTATCCGGAGACTTTTCTGAAGATGAATAGTGACAATACGGGGATAAAAAATGTTTTGCCGATGGAGAGGAGGGCTAAGGGGCTACTGGCATGGCCCGAAGGCCACACAGTTTAGTGACAAAGCCTTAACTGCCAGCGAAACTAAAACTAGGAGCTAAATAGCCAAAGTATTGCATAGCCCCTCGCTTCTTTTGAACGTCGTCCCTAACCCTCCCATTGCTCATTCTCCTTCGTCGGTCATCACGACGCAGTCGGTGTTGTGAGAAAGCATCTACGAACCACTCGTGCTAATGATCACATTCGCATGCAACCGGGAGGATATTTGACCGCATTTCTACTGACCCTTTAGACAATCCCACTGCGTCTAGTGCTCCGACTTGTGTAGGGAGAAGGCGAATGCACTAATTGTCCCGTATCTCCATCGCTAATTGTGAGAACCCTGACCCAAAAGAAGTGTCGTAAGGTAAATCCAGTAAATAAAATAATTTATAAAGCCCATACAATGACGGGTTGGCAATGCTGAAGAAATTCTGGAAACTTGACTAAATCCACTGAAGAATTTAGTGGAGATTGTACCGTGAAATCTAAAATGAATGTTAGACACACTTCCATTGCTTGCAAAATAACCTTATCTTAATGCTGTTTAAAGAGAGTACTTTTTGTGAATTTAGACGTTCTCATTACTTGTTTACCGTTTTTAGAAAATTTTTCGTTGAAGCAATACGAAATCAAAAATCTAAAGTTTCCGATTACGGCTTTTAACTAATGGGTGAAATCGTACGATATAATTTAAACTTTGATCTCCAGGTGTATGGTTTATAGCTCCGAGGTTTCAGCAGACGCCTCCAATTGGTACAACGAGATATTTATGCACCCTTGCGATTTAGTCGATGACTGTTAATGCAAGAGGAAGCCTTCAAAGTGAGGTATTTCAATTACTTATTGGTGTATGAAGTATGAAAAGAGGCTCCTAATGTGGACTTGAGCATGATTTTGAAATAAGTAGTTCACCCCCTCCCTTTTTGAGTGTTGTCTTTGACGCTCACCTTGGCCACCCTGCCGCGTCGGCCATCAAAACGTAGTTGGTGCTGAGAGATAAACATCCACGAACCAATCGGTTATCGAGTTTGCGCGCAACTGCAACTTCGCTGATCACCATAGGCACCTCTAGTGAATCTGAGATTTTGCTCTGCTTGTATTGAGGAAGGGTAAATCTACTGGCCATCTCGTATGCCCATCGCTAGTCTTGAGAGCACTGGCCTAAAAGCAGAGCAACTTAATGCAGGACGAGGTTTATTATAATCAACTTAAGGGATTATGTTTCCACTACCGTTCCTCTTTGCTACTCTGTTTTCACTTTAGTGCTACTTAGGCACATATCTATGCAGGTTCTTCCGAGGTAGCAGAGAAATGGAGGAAGTATCATGTGGTAACTTAACTGACACCTTCACTCAGGTACCGTCGAGAGATCTATAACAAGCTTTTCCGGATGGAGTGGTAGCTGAAGGTAGGCGGCATTTTCGACCCCTCCGTTGGGGATCACCACAGATTCTCCCACTAACATAAAATATTCTTCTTCCGTCAAGCAGGAGTTTAGCATTCAACAATGAAAACCGGGATGGTACTCTTTAAAGTAGGGTTTGCTTTGTACTACCACCAATGTAGCTCCAGAGTCATTCCTGAAGATAGAGGAAGACATAATGCTAGGGCTGATGCTATAGTGCTGACAAAGAGATGAACTGGGGTCTATTTTCAACGACCGAAGGCCATGCCGCTCAACGAAAGTATATAGACGTAGCCTTCCGTGCCCGCGAAATCAGTACGAAGAGCTAAGCAAATAATGAGGCATTCAAACCCCAAATGTTGCCTTGGAATTGGTTGAAGTTTCAGAACAGTACTACCACATTGAATTTTTATATTGGTAACTTGTAAAAAGGGATGTTTCAGATTGGACCTATTGGAGAAAAGTTAATTCTCTCTTCATTACAAATATAAACTTGCATAGGATAAACCCACTAATCGCACTGGGTGTGTCCTAATAAGGATTATTTGTTTATCTTCCTTATAAGAGAAATGCACACACCTTCTTGTCCTGTGAAAGAGTGAACTTTACTTGTTCCTGTAGCTACGCTGACCCAAAATTTCTGAGTCTCTGCAGCCACCCATGTGATTGTTTCGCAGTCAGGGGGTGGCGTTCTGGTCATTGCTTAATGTGGCCCACCAAACCTTGTGCACACTTTCATTACGCTTCTCTCTACCCTCACACGTCAACAGATGAAAGCAGAGTGTAGCTGTGGCCTTTCTCTCTGTCTGCATTTCACAACTAGTGGCATTTACGGGGCGATTTTCAAGCAAAATGGGAGATATTCAAGTTACCGGAGATTTGCAAGTCCAAATTGTCAAGTTATTTGCTTATATATGCTTCTGCTGATAAAGGAAATATTTCTTGTTATGTCAATAGATCCTTCACTTAGATATCTCATTTATGATAGAAGGGAAGCTATTTTTGTTTACATGACTTAAAAATAAGGTGTATCCCATGCTTCGAGTAAACAATTTCTCTATTTTTAACTTAGTAGGTGATAAATTTATCAAAACTGGAGTACACTTTCTGTCGCCATGAGTTTAATTTCAAGCTGCAGTCTTCCAAACATCTCTTGGAATAATGAGATACAAAAAGTGTTCGTAAAAAGTAAGTGGTCAAACTTAAGAATAAATACCTTAACTGCTCAGTTGTCTCCTGTTAGTAAGATTTCCGTGTCAGATTCCAGTTTTTTACAAAGCATGTTCTCCATCATTCAAAACATTTTGGCCACATAAGTACATCAGAGGCGTCGATAGCCAAGCCTTTGTAATGCACCACTCTAAGACTTCCCCAAAGACTAAAGAAGTCCCAATACTCGGACAGAACATGCTTTGCCGCCATGGAGAAGAGCTGGAGAGCTGCTGGCGTGGTCCGGAGGCCATGGCCCCCAGTGGAAGTACAGTAGCGGAGCCTTAAACCCCCTTGAAACTAAAAACGAAGATCTAAATAAATAATCAAAGTAGTACAAAGTCCCCCTCTACTTTTGACCCTTAACCTTGGCACTCTTCATTATCTGCCTCCTACGTTGTCCATTAAAACATGGTCGGTGCTGTAAGCGAAATAATCACGAAACAGCTGCACCAGTCATCGAATTTGCATGCTACTGAAAACATTTTTCGCCGCAACATCACCGATCCCACCAGGCAATTCCACAAGATCTATGGTATCAATATTTGGAAAGATTAGAATGTGGAGGCCACCTTGTATGTTCGTTGCTGGTTGTAAGAACGGTGGCCCAAAATCAAAGTCATTTAACAAAAGCAGGAGTTTATAATGCTTTTGTACGGATAAAGTTTCGCGACTATTCAGCATTGAGACTTAATTCTCAATTCCGCGTTGCCCAGGCCTATCTATCTGGATTTTATCCAGCTACCTGAGAGACAGGGAACATACCGTGCGTTCAATTGGTTGCCATCTTTATGTATGCCACGTAGCCAGCTCCATAGCGAACATTCCCAAATGGATCACTGCTAGTGTAGCTAACATTCCTGCAAAGCCCGGTACTGCGGTGGTAGCCGAAGGCAGACGCCACCATCCACTCTTCTATTAGGAGTCTTCACATATTTACCCATCCGTAGCATATTTCTTTATTCCTTCACTCTTAAGTTCGGCATTCGGGAGTGAAAACTAAGGTAATTGTTCTTTAGGATAGAATTTGCAACCAATATAGCTCACAAGGACATTCCTGAAGACGAAAGAAGACATGCTGCTAGGGCAAAACATGTAATGCCGATGTAAAGAAGAGCAGGGAGGTGGTGCCGCCCAGTTGATGTACAGAGGCGGTGGCTTAAATGTCCGCGAAACCAAAGCAAATGGTTAAATAGAAAAACTAAAACAAAAACTAATTTTTTAACTCACGTAGAAATAAGGTATGACGAAATTTCGAATTTTCTACAGTCGTTTTAATTATGATAAAAGTAACCATACCATTTCGCATTTATTTTTGTCATGATAGGCACTTAGCAAACATCCTTGGAGCACATCTTGATATGAATAGTTACAATGGGATTGACGCGTAGTAAGCTTGGTAAAGAGCATACCTACTGCCTGATAAAACAATATTTTTATCACTGCTTGGTTTAATCGCACAAACTCTTCCGCACCAGCAATCTGATTGCCATTCTGGTGTAAGCTTGTCACGTTCACACCTAGAGCCTCTTCTTTCGTTACCCGTAAAACCAATTTCCCAAGTGGGATTGTTTGAGTTGCAACAAACAATGTACAAACTCCTAAAAATTACGATAACTGGACATTGTTTTAGTCACCATTTCAAATGATTAAGCTGCATTTCAGGATGTAATTTTTGACACATTTCTCATTCATAGGAAATTTCTTCAGTAAGGAATGGTAAAATGTGCCTTTAACAATCATCATCATTTATTCAAAAGGACAATGAACAGAACGCTAAGAAACGTAAAAAAACCTGATACACAGATGCTTCGGTACCAAAAATTAAAATAAAGAAGTTCTAATTACTGCCACAATTCAAGGTAAAATAAATTGGCTATCAGGATAATAATAACTTTCAATCGGATTTTATTTAATAAAACAGATTCTATCCAAACGGAGTTACCCTAATTTGCAACAAAATGGTTTATTACTAATCAACCTGCAATGTTTTGTTAGGGAATATGGGCTAAATTCAAAGAACAAATAGAATATTTCCACCCTAATCAAATTAATTTTGTGTTCGCGTCGTAAACATTGTGTATCGTAATAGGCTCGGTGTTCCTCTCTCACCTCAGCCTTCGTACCCTTGGGACGAGGAAAAGTTGGACAAGGACATGATTTGTGGGGTGGTAATAAACGGAAGGGGAGAGATACCGGGTTAAGCGTGTTTAGGGGATATTTCCTCCTTCTCGAAGGCCAATAGCATCCTATCTGTCACGAGGTTAGTAACTACTGACTGCCTCTCGCCTGAGAGGTGCATTCGAACAAACTCGTATCACAGAATCTCTACCACACACATTGCTTCGGGTCAAAATTTGCAAGAATGGTAGCAAAATGTTGAGTTATGGCCGCATTTTCTGCGGAAGAATATGCAATCTTTTAATAAAACTTGGAACAAGCATGTTTATGGAGCTTTTTAATTAAAGGATATTTTTGAAGTTTCTGTAGCACCTTCATAATGATGTTTGACTCAGGCTTCATCCCTGAGTTTCCATCGTCTACCAGACAACTTTCCAATTTAACAGTTGAGAGCATAATGGATAAAAGCGAGTCACAAACTCTATATACCTTTTTCATTTTGAAATGGTCAGCCCTAAAAGTTTGACGATTAAAATGACTTTATTCAAGTGCAGTTGAAGGTGACAACCAGTCAGTTGAAATTCATGGCATAGATGGACTGGGTGGGCTTTAATTTTGACCTCAAAGGAGAACGCACATTCTCCTGTCCTTACACCTAAATGCACTTTTAATGGGTTTTTGGAAACTACTTCCATTTTAGCAAGTTATAAATTTCACTTCTTCTAATGCTGTCTATCTTCAACTAACTGCACATCGGGACAAGCCATAAACTTGGGGAGTAGAGTACAAATATATTAATTGGCGTCACAGGTCTTTAATTATCGAGGAGGCATGCCTCCTGTGCCAAATAATGTAAATCTTTTGCCTAATTCGTGGCACATTTAACGAGCAGTTTGCGAAATGACGAATTTAAGGCAACACAGTGGAAGTATCTTTCCAATCACGTCATGAAAGGTGCTCATCGAAGTATCCACAGCCTAATGACTTCTAAGACCCTCCCTTCCCTAAATTTTCCTATTAGGAACCTACGGCGCGGTTTTAAGCAACACAGATTTGGGGGGAGTTGTCAACCTCGTGAATATTATTTATGATGATAAACAAGTCAAAATTGAAAAATGTGGGAATCAATGTTAAAATGTCGTATCTAAATGTTCCAATTTGGTTTAAGATACTAATGGGTGAGAAGGCTTCAACTAGGATTCATTCATCAAAAAGGTCTAATCCTTAATAGAGAAACCAACGCCCATGAGACTTTAGTCAATGAGATTTTGAGTAGCTGCTTGAAAATGTTATTACCCTCACAGGAAGGATAGAGGACTGCTCTCTACGGTTTCTTCCTTAAAGTTGTCCTTATCATAATCTTCTAAGTAATTACGTCAGCGAATTCTTCTAATCAAAGCCTTGATTTAAGAGAAACATTAGCAGTCGTCTAAATTTATCCACAAAATTGTGAAACCCTCATTAGGTCATAAACCTTGTCTTTGGTCCGGATGACCATAATTCTCCATCTGTTATCGTAGTGAGAAAAACGACTTCGTTGTCTTTCAAACCATTCCACCTATTAGAAAAATTAGCAGATCACTCTCCTGCCATCAATTTTCTTAAGGGAATTGTGGTTTAGTGGAAAATACTCAAAATGCATTGTGTGATTTAAAATGTTTAATCCCAATCTCCACTTTTTGCCTAAAATATATCTCTACTTCTCGAAATCTGTCCTAAATGAGGTAAAGTTGATTATGATAAACATTGACCTTAATATTGGGTAGAAACGCCAATTTTATGGCCATTCGAAGGAAATTTACCACTGCCTAATTTTCTTGTTGACATACGATGTGCGGACTGACAGTTTGTCAACGAGTTGTCTGATAAGTTTGTGGACAGCTAACGCAATATAACAGTAGAAGCTTCTAATGTTTACTTGTACTTAACCTATTCGGAGTCACAAAAAGTTGCACCATCTACCCAGGCAGGTCAAGACGATTAGTTTGCAGACCTCCTATTGGTCAGTGTGGGCTGGTTTGTTTGTCCCCACGCTATTGGTGGAGACATGCCCAGCGGAAAGCCGAACTGTTTGACCTGCGCGTATGCATGGGAGAGCCGAAAATTTCTGGTCTTGTGCCACATTTTTGATAGGGGTCGGACTTGTGAAGGCACATGAAGTTGGCTCCATGTTGAATTACTACAATGAAAAATAATACAGAAGAGGTTGAGAATATCCTGTTCGGTTTGATTCTCAATGCTACAAATGACACCAATTCGGAGACTTTTCTCAATTCCCATCGGTTGCTGGATGGCGTCACTTATACCTTTTGTGTGGTTGGCATGCTACTAAACTTCTTCGCTTTTGGAATTCTCCGAAGAAAGGCAACAATAGGCGTGCTGCTAATAAAACTCATTCTCATATCCGATGGTCTGGTGTGTGTCTTCTACTTATTGAATCAAATTTGGACTGACATTACCCTCACTTACCTACTCACAGCACTTGTGACGGAGTACCTCTCCCGAAAGTCGCTTCTGACCTATGTCTCAAATATCTTTCGCATTTTAGCAGTGGCTACAGTGAGTGTCAGTAATTGGTATATTGTTATTATGATCATACATCGTTGCATTTCCATCTACGTGACTCCCTTACGAAGCCGCCTTGATCGCTCATTATGGGTTTTTGTACAGAAACAGTTGAATTTATGGATTGTCTACGGACTGTGCTGGTTCTTCAGCCTTCTCATTACTTCATTTCCACTTCATGAACACCAAATCCTCCTAGAAGTGTTAATTTTTGTTCTTCCATTGACACTTGTATTTATTTTCTCGGTGTTGTTGTTAGTAAAGCTACGAGCGATACAGAAGAATATTAGAACAGCGCCCAAAGCCACGCCTTGTTGCTTTCCCCAGCAGACTAATATTAAATGCACTCAGAAAACGGAGTCAGATGACACATTTGCCCAAACAAAACAAGGTACAGCCTCGGTAGACAGACTTTCAGTGGCTTCGGAAGAGCATCAAAAGAAACTCTCTCCTAAAACGCAGCAGGAACCCATTACCAGTACTATTTCTAGTGAAACTGAACGCAGGAAAACGTACTACCGAATAACAACAACTATTCTTAGTTTGTCCGTATCTTTCCTTATTCTGGACTCGTTGCAATTATTAGATTTGCTTATTCGAATACCATGGAGAAATATACTCGGTAGCATAGAAGAAGCGCATGTAAATTCATCAATTACCCCAACAAATGCAACCAATATGAAGGAATTTTTGACAGAAGTGCAAAGGAGTGGGGAGAAACAATCGGTGTTGAGTATAGTAAAAAACACATGCACACTAGGCAAAACTTTGGCCAATTTCCTTATCCTCTGTGCACATAGTCGACACTTTCGAGCGTTGGTGTCGATTAAATTTAAACGAGGCCGTCGCCTATTACGTCTCTTGCGCCGTCGAATGCAGCCTCGTCTCTCGAGACAAGTAAATACTGATATGGGCACAAGGTACTTCCGGCAAATACCTTCAACAAGACGTAATACAATCCATCGAAAAAGACCTGAACTTGAAGCCCGCGGTATACCCAGCCCTCGCATCCCTGGTCTTATTAGAAAAGCAAAGAACAAATTTGAAGAAAGTGCACCACTGCGACGTGAGCAGGAGGTAAGGCAGTCAACCTCCTCAAGGAGTAGCCTTACTCAGTCCCTATTTCGGCAGAAGCTACGAGATGATGAAGGTTTTGTGGTGCACAAATTCCACCGATCATTGAAAAAAAGCGATTTTGACAAATATCACTTGCAGATAAAGATAGGAGAGGGTGAAAAACCGGTTGTGGTTCGGAATACGAACGTGAGGCTATTTAGTCACGGGGTCTATCAATCCAAGTGCGTTCCCACAGAGACTCCCAAATCAGCTGAACATTCCAGTTCAAATGACTGCTCAACTGGCATGGTGAAATGTCGGTTTTCTTCTTCAACTTACCAGCCAACGTCAAACTCCGTTGCAGAGTGCGAGGCAAGCTCTGATAGCCTAAAATCCTGCTGCACTACATGCGATTGCAGATTGGTGTATTCAACATCTCCTTCCCCTTCTTCCAGTGCCAGTAACTACACCTATCCAGGGGCATTTCGTGCCCACTGCTGTGATTGTCATAGAGTCCGAATTGACCAAAAGACCTTAAAACCAACCCGATAGTGACAAATATTCTTTTCGTTTCTTTAAGCAGATATACAAACCCAGAATTTTTTACTCCTATCATTTGGTTTGCTTAAGCGGATTCATTGTGTCGCGTAATATTAATGTAAATGATTTTGCACCTTTTGGAAAATTATTATGCTTTAATTTTTCGGACTAAGAAGTAATGCCAATAGCAAAATTGCTTCTAAAGTCAAAATAGCTTTAATTTTTGATCATTATCTCGAAGTTTTTAACGATTTAGCTTATTTCGTTTTTGAAGATTGAGGATCTGAGGTGTGACATGTAGAGGCTAAAAAGTGGCAACACTGATGTTGTACCCAAAGAGTTAGGCCATGCAGATTGGCGCCCAACTGTTCAAAAAGCTGCGTTTTGTTAACATTTGAATATGAAATCCCCTTTGGGAAGGATTTTTCCTCAATGAATTTAAAGGTTGCTGCATAGTGGCCCTAAAGTAGGCTTTCAGTTACTGGGGGAAAGACTACATGTGCATAACATTTACGTTCTTCCTCTACCAAAATCCACCCTCAAAATTTAACACTACATGTGCAGAACTTCATGACGGCACGTCAAAAACAATTATTCTCCAGTCTTCAAATTGCAGAGATTAGGCTTGAATTAGGCATTAAGGATTTTTTTTGCTTCTGTAAGAATGTGCATTAATGAAATTATGCCTTCCTCTAACAGTCGTTAGCATTTAAGTTATTTTGCGTGAATTTACCAAAGAGGTGGCCCAATTTTTTTCATTCTAACATAAAGAATTATTTTTTGCTTCTCTCTGTCAAATAAAAAGGTAGAAACTGTACTTGAGTACTTTAATATAATTGTCAACGCTCCTCCAGCAATTGATACCAATGCATAGGGAAGCCTAAAATATTGCGTGATTCTTGTTGTAAAAGCAAAACAATAAGAAAAGACTGTCATTTAAAAAAATCCGTAGTGTATTCGAACAAAATGAAGGGTTGTTTAAGCAAATAGAGGATTATTTAAATTGTCGATAATACTATTTGTAATTTGGTGCCTTGCTGCTAATCATACTCCCGTCAAACGTTTTGTCTCTAGGGCCAAACAACGTAGCTCCAACTATCTTCATTTTTGCCCAACTTTAATTTCTTATCTGTCCATTTCACATTTATTAACGTGACTGCGTGGTACCAAGAAAGGGCAATGATCATCACATAGAGAAATATCAGCTGGATGAATTTGGAGAATTCAAAGCCCAAGGAGGCGAAGAACTGGGATGGGGATGAGGGTGCTGCATCACATGCTCCAGATGATATAAGGTGTACATGTCTTCAAGATTAGACCATTAGTATGAGATTTTAAGGCATCCCCAAAGAATATTACTCTTCCTGCTCCAGCCAACAGACTCACCTCATCAATTTCTGATGAATTTATCCTTCACACCTTTTAGCAGCACCGCAAGGGCAGATCTCATCCGTAATTTTTGGACTTTAGCAATTAAGGCGCTCGTGGTTGATGATACGGTATGAGGAGCACCTCACGCAAAGCAGGCATAGTCCTCGAGATGAATACTGCACCACTAGAGGGTATCCAATGAAAAATCGGCAACAAGTCAGGCAGCAGTCTAAAGTGCACGATGTGTTCGCATTAGGACAAGTGGAAGAAAGGAAGAATCATTTGACAGGCTTTGGAGTTTTTACATTCTTAAGCAAATGACATGTCAGGATCAATTGCCCAGCATTCACGGTATTCTATTCTCAGTTGAAGCAGTTGCCAACCACCTGTGTAGCCGCTGAGGCAAAGCACAAATGGTAGCTCTTCGTAAAAAGGTTGTTTTGAGATTGGTGAATCAGCAACAATAGGATATTTTTCACTGGTAATGATGATGGGTCATTTTGAAAGGGTTCAAGCTGCCTATTCAATGACCGACTACTTTGACGGATTTCTAAGGGTATTGCCAAGCGAGTTATTGTTCCACCACTTAATCTTCAAACGCCAAGTCTCAACAGCAACGAGGAGTTATCGCAGCATGTCTGCACCTTAAGAAGGGATTTAGAATTAAGTCAGCCTATACTCTACTCGGTACAACCAACATTTAATAAGAAGGTTTAAAATGGGGGAAGATAGTGTGGAGCACAGAAATGGAGGCGATTGAGTGGGAACTACCCATGCTTTATAATGAGTTTATACAGACTAGGGTATTTTGCTAACCCCCACATTTGGAGACAAGGAATTACAATGAGCTACGATGAGAGGGCTTGAACTGTTTTAGGATAATTTAGCATTTCAGTCCAAATTCATTTCCCGTCCCATTTTTTATTCTCCTGGAGTGGGAAACACCTATTTGAGCTCCTCTTGGCTTTGTGAAGAAGGAAAATACACTGTTTCTGAGTGTTGTCAAACCTCAGTCGAAATGTCTTTAACACTTATAAAAACCAAACCAACATTATTAGTGTTGGAATGTATTGCGACTTTTAAATCAGACTAACAAGCACATATCCCTATAATGCACACGGGTTTCTCACACAAGAGTTTTGAAATATTGTCACTTTTTGAGATGAACGTTTTGTCTTTTAAAATGAAATAGACTGCCAAAAGGAATAGTTCTCTGCTAAGTAAACTAAAGTGTTGGACCCTAAGAGTAAACATTTTGATTGTAGCCTACCGAGCTTTTGTTGAAGAGGAAAGAGTGCATCCTACCGGGGACAGAAAATGTATTGCTGATAGACAGAAAGGCTGGGGACTACTAGGGGGGGCCCTGAGGATTTACTACTTAGGGAAAATGCAAAATCGGGACCCAAAAGGCTTACAAAATTAAAACGAAAAGTTAAACAAGCAATCAAAGTGTTACATTGGCGTCTAAAATGAAATGGCAGTATGCAGAAACGAGATAGATTTGTTTATTGTTTAAGAAGGATAGTTTTATAATTGGTGGAAAAGGTGTACCTTTCTTAAGTCGGTTGGACAATTATCTTTGCATGAAGATGCCCCAAAGCAAACAGGCACAGGAGTGGTTAGCGGAATTGGCTCGATGTTTTGCTCTCCTACTTCACTTTTCATACCCTCGAAATCGGGAGACGAGTTGGAGCAGGAAATGCTTTATAGGATAGGGATGAATGAAGGGGTACCCTTATCCCAGTCAAGCTTGTTCAGTGTACTTCCCCTCCCTGGGGGCCGATGGCGGCCGGTCTGTCATGAGGATCCCATTTACTGACCGCCTGCGGTCTGAAAGTTACATTTAAGCACACATGTATTACAGTTGGGAAAACAACTAGTTAAGTAAATGAATTTCATTTTCTATGTTAACGTCGATTAAATTTTAAGTAGTTAAAATGATTCACTACTTGAGAAGAATTTTGTAATTACTTGTTTTTGCAAACCAAAAAACTGTAGCTGAGGATTTGCTCCTTCTTAAGACGCAAAAAAGGTGGTTGCTTGCTGTGCCACATGACTTTACGATTTGGGTTTCTGGGCATTGTTTGACAACCCGTCATCGAATAAATTTACAGTGGTCAGTAATGATGGGTTTACTCAAAAATGCCCAGTTTAGCTATCATGGTTAAGGTTATGACTACGTGCGTTGGTTCTATTAGTTGGTTTAATGCTATGATCCTTCGTTTAAGTTTTCGCTTTGGCTATGCCGGTACTTTGGAATTCCGCTGGCCTCCGAGCCATGTCAGTACCCCCCCAGCCCTTTTGTACACCAACGGTGCATATTCTGCCGGCTATTATGTCCTCTTTCGTCTTCAGGGAGGGGCTCAGAGCAATAAAACTGGCTCGAAAATTAGTCATATGATCTAATTAAAATTCTAATTCATATGTATGGAAATTATTTAGCGGTAAGAATGTTAGGCTGACCTGAGAAAACAGCCAAGAAAGACAAGCAGGAAAGTGTTTTATTTTCCTTTCCTTCTTGTCAATGATATAGCCAAAAACTGGGGTACAAATGGGGCTGTCATTGATAAAAACGGCATTTAACATTCATTTGCCTTTACCGAGGCAGTTTTATCCAAAAACTCTTTTGTGGTTTCCGTAAAGTAGGACAGCCGGAGGTAAAGGCGCTATTATTTTTCCCAAAATAACACAGAGATATTGTGAAAGGTCACGTGATCGTGTCACTTCCATGGGAAGGGCTGCTTCACAATCCACTTTGTATTTATTAGAGAATAACAGCCTAAACCAATCATCGACATACAGAAAGGCTGAGGGGCTACTGATACGGTACAAAGGCCATTCAGCCCAGCGGCAATACAGTGGCGGAGCCCTAAATTCGCACGAATCCAAAACGAAGAGCTAAACAAAAATCAAAGGACTGCAGAGCGCCTCCCACTTTGAAGAAAAATAAAGAAGTGTAGGTTGACTCAAAGCAAATAAAGGCCCCATGAAAAGCTATTTCTCACTCAAATGGATGGCTTTTTGTCGTCTTAAATGTCCGAGAAGGAATAAGTCGCCCTCTATTTTACTTTCAAATTCCCTGCGCACATAAATCTTCTCATCTCAGCTAAAAGTACTAAAGTAAATTTGTTGGTCGGGAAATTTTGCCAATCTTCTTTTGAGCTATACTGACGTTGTTTTAAAAGAAACTAAACTTTTTGATGAATAGGTTTTACTCGTTCTCATTAAAAGTTCAAATTCCGGAAACTCCTTAAGTCTGAACTGTCAAAGGACCATAGGGAGGTGGAAAAGTTCATTTTTGCTGATGAAATTAATTGCCAGAAAATGTAATCAACTTTGACAATGCATGATTAAATGATTACAGAGGGAGAGAGGGTAACATCACATCCTATAGACATAGATATAGAGCTGCTGGATTAGGTCCATCCCTGGTAGCATAATTTGATCGAGTTGACGGCAGCTCAGCAGACGGTGAGGCTAGGATGTTATAGACATCCCCTTATGGGCCGTTTCGCCAATAGGAAGTACAAACAGCAAAGGCTAAAAAGATCAAGGTTTTCAAGTACATGTAAATAGACTGTATAGTAATCCACCATCGATACCTCTGATAGATGTTTATGGATGATAAAAGTAAATCGAGGTGCTTCAACAGTCCCAGTACAATCGGAATTGTAAAGTTGAAATGCAGAAGGCTGATAAACAACATCGAGGTAGAAAGACGTGAAACGGACGACGGATTACTGTACCCTGGTTCATGACAGTTTTAAATTTAGCAACATGCAAAAAAGGTTTTGACAGATGGGTATGGGCACGGGGACGTGGACAGCTTGATCATCACCGAGAAAAAGAGAATCACAATTCGGAATTATCTAGCACTCTAGTAGAAAAAATTGCCCTTGTTTCACTTTTTATATTACGCAAGAACAAGGCTGTCATTTAAACACTAAGAAGGTTGTTTAAATAGAATAAAGGTTTGGTTAGATAGTTCCTATTGCCATTCGCAATTTAGTGTCTTTGCAAAGGTCACAGTCTTGGTTTTAATTGAATTTCCGTCAAACTTTTCGTCGTTGGTTGCAAACAGGATACCTCTAACTTCCTGCATTTCCATCCAGTTTTTATAACCCAACTATCCATTTTGCATGTGCTCGCGTGATTGTGTGGTGCAAAGAAAGGACAATGACCGGGTTATTTGGGGTGGAGGTCCTTTTAAGAGCAGGCTATGTGGTGAGAGATCTCGCGGTGCCCCTTAAAAATATTACTTCCAACCCATGCAGTCACTGGATCCGAATTACCAACTTTTGAAGTAGTCGCCTTGCACATCGTCAAACTGCATCGAACAAGCACGCAACCTTTTTTATTTGGTATCTAGCAACTGCAATATTCATGGTGAGCGGTAGAGTGCGTTGAGTAACACAGGGATGAAGAAAGACCCTGGAATTTCGAAATGAGCAGTGAATCACTTGAAAATATGTGATAAAACATTGGCAATAAATCGGGCAGCAAAAAATCAGAAGTATGCTACAAGTTCCTACAAGCTACGTGAAAGGCAGGAAGATCAATTTAAAAGGCTTTAGGGATCGTCGTTCTTCGTCCCAAAGTGGCACGCAAAGACCGTTTGCTTGGCATTTACGATCTTCCATTCTCTCTTGATGTAGATACCAACCACTTGCCTGACCACTCACTTTAAGCAATCCCTAAAAGTTCTTCGTAACGTATTCATTTGAGGTTGGCAAAATCAATGAGGACTCGGAATTCACCTCTATCAGTGGTGGAGGGTCATCCTGAAAGTGTCAAATTTGTCTTCATTTGATTGATCACCTCACCTGATTTCTTAGAGCTTTCCCAGGTGGCACATCTTCCCACCGCTTCGCCGCCAAATACCAAGCATCAACTGCGACGAGTAGCATCTTCAGGATGAGAAGAGATTTAGAAATACGTCAGCCTGTATTTTGCCGTATTCAACCATAATTTAGGTTTGGGTTAAGAGGAATAGAGTACAGAGCACAAAAATGGCAGCGACGGATTGGCGACCACTTATGCTTTACTGCGCGTCAGTATAACAATGACATTTTGCAAGCTCCACCACTGCACGAAATTTCTCTTTTGCAAGTTATACTGAAAACTGACATCAATTTTTTGCTTTCCTGATATTTTGCTCATCTCTTCAAATAAACAGTGCGCCAACCATCTGTTTGATCATAGACAGCTGCTAAAAAGTGCTTTTATTTGCGAACTCAGAGCTTCAAACAATCAACTTTTTTTGCAATCCGCAGATCTGAATGTTTTTAAGTTTTACATGAGGTGTTGTTTGCAAAAGCTCCTTATTTGGCATAGGCAAATAAATCGTTTGTTTAACTTAAATTTAGATCAATGTCAGTCCAAGATATATTTCGTTTTGTCAAAAAAGCAATAAAATCGTTTGTCACATTTATTTTTCAAATTATTGCCAGGCGGTCAAATGCAGTTTTAGCACCCCCACATAGACACATACATAGTTTCCGGGACGACTTGAACCCTAGAAACTTGAAGGTAAGTGTTAGACACATCTACTCTCAATTAAATTATAAGTTCAAACTAGTCTGGACCTGCAAGGTTACGACAGATTTATTTAAACAATTACATGGACTTGTTTTCCACCTAGTTTAGCTATTTAATCAGATTGATCATTTATGGCTCCATCCATTTTGATGTCAGTTAATTTGCCTTAAATTAATATAATACAAAGCTGCGAGAATTCTTAAATCCAAAACTAGATAGATTTATCCGTAATACTTTGAGGTAAAATATGTCCATGAGTAATTTCGGTTAATCAACTACTTAATTAATTCTATGTCTCCCATGGTCAGTGGTTATGTATTATTGCTTGAATAAGAAATCAGGATAAAATACCACATCTGCTAAAGAGTTAGTTTAGACGAAATGGTTGGCAGGTGTTGAGGTATTGGTTATCTGCAAAACGTCTCACTGTCTGATCCCCCCTCCGCTCTCTCCCAAAGTGCACTTCTTCTTCCAAGGTTCATTAAATGTTAAACTGAAGTATTATGTTGTGTAAAGGTTAGAACCGGCACATTATGTATGTGAAAGTGCCGCTTTCTTTAGCGTAAACAAAATTTTCGCTTTGGAAAATATTTTCATTGATTAAAGATGAGGCACTTATAAGGGAATTTCGCCTATCATAGATTTATTTCACAAAATATGGTCTGCATAATCATTAGTAAGAGATGATAATTCTGGGGCAGCAAGTATTGGTTTGAGAAGTTCTTTGGTCGGCTGTAAAGCATTCTGTAAACGCACTTTCTGAATGTCCCGAAGGATGGCCTCGTTGGACCGAATCGGAATAAAGTGAAAGTCTTCCGTCTCAGGTAAAACCTTAGCCTTTGGGACCGATGGATCTGGTTTTGTGTTTTTTTGAATCACGCAACTTCCGGAAATGGGCTTGCGGAGTCGAGTTTCCGCTTGGCCCTCCTTTGTCTTCCGCTCATTTTCGTCGGCTTTATCCAAAATAAAGGGTTGGCGGACTACATGTGTATTCCACTTTCTAGGTTACAATGATTTAATAAAAAAGGATGGTTGGTTTAGCAAGGAAATAATATATTTCTGCTTCGATCTCCTAGTTGGTTATCTTAGAAAGAGGCTTCGTTTGAAATAACTAACGACTCTTATTTGTAAGACCTTGGAACGGCTTTAAGAAACTTCTAAAGTAGTTCACTTGGGTTGATAGGGATCTCCCGGATTTAGTCTTTAAAATCGTATTTTAAGTATATTTTTATGATTTTTATGGTAATTCTGGCAAAATCTCTTTAGCTAATGGCATCTTAGGTTTCAAATATTTACGTGACAACAAAATCTACCCTTTTAAGTCTTGATACTTCTTATGACGTGGTAGGTAGCGTTCACTGACAAAATTACTAATTCCAAATTCCTCTTGAAAGATTTTCCCCACGATTGATGACAAATTCTTCAAATTAGGCAACTTTACAGCAAGTTTTTTCATGTTATCAAAGGCTGAGCTGATCTTCAGCATTGCAAGACGATTCCAAAAGCTGGAGTTGCATACCTCCAGTATTGTCTCCAACAATGACGCCTCCTCACTGACGAAAGTGGTCGTTTTATTTATTGCAACTGGCCTCTCTGAAAAGCTTATTAACAGAGGACCATAGATCTTCGCTATTAGAGCTCGTTCAGAGTTTGACGTAGTATGCATAAGCAGGAAGTGCTGAATATGCAGCATTAGAAAGGCGGCTGTATCAATTACGGTTCTGCTGTATGGCAGAAGAGCATGCTGAACGATTAGTCTGATGTTGGGGTCGGGTCGGTTGAACTGATCATACAAGGGACGTTTGGTGATCGCTTCTATATCACGCTTGAAGAGATGGATTAATTTAGGGGAAAAGGTACTCAAAAATACGCGGAGGGTTCTGATTAGAAGGGCTGGACTCAATCCTCTTAACATATTTTGGAGAAATGGTACTTGTTTATGAACGAAGAGCAAGTGGCCGAGTAGATCTACTGCCTCTTGATGAAATTGCAGCCACTCACACAACATCCAAGCCCAGAAGTTCTCACGAAAACAGTGGGACTCTATGGCATTGACAAGTACCAAGATAATCCCAGGCACGTAAGGTGACTCCATAGGTGAAAAATCGGCCACATTCAGACGCCGCCTAGAGATTATTTCCTCAATGCCCATTTCATATCTAGTCTCCTGCTCAAGCCTAGCGTCGAAACCCTGGAAATGGCGCTTCCAAGCGTACGGGCTCTCAAAGACTTCACGCATAGCTGCATTGCGAGCATTGGCTTCCTTATCAATATCCGTGCGACAAGAGATGTCTTTCACTTCCTCATACTTGTCATCAAATGGCTGAATGGGCATGAAGAGACGCAGAGTGGCATTGTCTTCGTTCTTTTTAATTCGCTGTCCACTGTCGTAGTATGCTAGTTTGGATGGAATCGGCGCGACTATATGCACCGAAGGCCGAGGACCTTTAGCATTCTTTAAGACCATTGTCAGATGAATGAAAAGACAACTTCTTTGACCTTAAATTGGATGCTTTTTTGGCATAATTTATTGATTGCTTTCCTCCGTGCATAGAAAATACAACCTTAGTCTGGACAACCGTGTCACTCTGTCAAGCCAGTACTTTTAGTCAGTACATTCTCATAATTATTTGATTCGCGTAATCATCCACAAGTTCCTATGCGGCAAAAGCTTTAACAAGCAAGTTAGATGGACTTTAAGTTTTTTAACAAAAAAAGGAGTGATCAATCTTTCTTCCAACAGTTGGCAAAGTTTAAAGAGAACTATAAGGTCGCCAGTGAGCCGACGTGTTTTCAAATTCTTACCCTGTTTTTATGTTAAAGTATTTTTACTTCTTTTTCATGTTTGTTGGGAAGTACTTTATAGGCTGGATGCGGTCATTAAGTAGAAGCCTCATGAAGGAACGGACGCCATCGGTACCCGGGAAGAAAACGTATACAAACCGCGGTCAAACTGTGGTGTCTATACCGCTACCCAAGAAACACGTCCTTGTCCAATTTGTCAGCTTTTTATTTCAAAAAATATGGAATCTAAAAAAAGAGAGAAACACAGTCTATTATAATGGCATGCCGTGGTTTAAAGTTTATTTATCTCAATCCCTATTCCCAACAGAACGTGGGTTTTTTAATAATTACCTAAGAGATTAGGCAAAAGAGACATCTGGTTAGATATTCTCCTGCTTTTATTAGCAGCTGCCTTATTCTTTGTCTCCTAGAAAGACGAATAAGTTTGAGAATGCATAAAACAATCAGAGCACAACATTTTGCTAATTTATTTGCGGACAAAAGGTTCTTCTAATAAGGAATTTCAAGTGTTTTGACCCCATTTTAGCAATGAAAAATTGTGTAATTAAGATAAGTGTATATGTAAGACTCTGATTCTTTGTTCAGTTGCCAGATTTTGTAATAGAGGCACCGAAGGTTCCGCCATTGTACCTCCGGACCATACCGGTAGCACCTCATCTCTTCTATACCACGATAATTCATATTATCTCTTGCCATTATTACCTCATTTGTCCTTGGGGAAGTGTTGAGGTGCCAGATTTAAACTGTTTTAGGGGAGGATTTTAATATGTGTAGACATCCTTCTCTGCTCCATTACCTTACTAATTAACTTCAACACTCCCTTACCTTTTATCCACAAACACCAAAAGTAAGTGGAAAGAAACACATTTAAGTCGAGAATTTTCTGCAGCCTTACTTCTTTTTCATAGATTGCTCAATCCCTTTCGTAGTTACATTATTAATGCCTGGATTTTTTTTCAGCTCCGTATAAGTTAGATACTTGTAGGCGAGTTGCATCACACCATGTGCTTGTGATACAGTAAAATAAAATGTTAATTTAAGGATATACTCTTTTAAATCCATTCATCCAATAAAATGACTTGTTAAAACGTCCACTCCGCTTATTTACCTCTTATAATTGGTCTAATGAAGGAGTAGGCCGTACGTGTCCTCCTTCATGCACCGTAAATGAAATGAAGGCATATGGTGCAGCTTACTTCTGCTTGAGAGAGCCAACAAATCTAAGTGGAGTAAGTGCCTTCACTTTTAACAGACGAACTTGCTTTATACCGGGCTGTTGTTGGGCTTAAAATGAAGTAGAGAGAAATCGGGTGAACAGAGTTTGCCCTTTAAATTTTTCACATTTTGCCTTAACCATACTGGATGCAAGAAGTAGCTTGTCTTGATCAGGTCAATTAACGCCGGACAGCAAAAACCAGACAAACATTCCGACCAGTGCGCAAAGAAGGCTTTAGGGGGTAGTCAAAGCCTCACATTATTAATTGGTAAGCATCAAGAGTTGTTTACATAAGCCACAGAGTTGTTTTTTATTACTAATGCAGACATAAAAGATGCCAGTAGTGGATTTGGCTTATGAAGTTGATATTCATTGTGCACGTCAAAGTGGAAAACCTCCAAAACAGGTGCAAATTAACCTCTCTGATACGTTGGAAAATGCAGGAAAAATGACGACAATTTTTCCATTAATTAAGTGCTAACTGCTGGGGAGGGAGGAGAAAGCAGCAGCTAGTAAAACGTTATGCTACCTTCACTTTTGATTCCACACAATGAATAGTTTGCGACAGTAATTTTTGGAATTTTTCATGGGAGACGCTGTATTTTCTGGATACATTTAATTACGCCGGTTCCGGTAAGTGACCTCAATATCATTTTATGGCTGATAGTAGGAAGATGAGCTAATGACCTATTTCCGTTCAGAAACTAAGGAATGGAGTTTGAGGAGGGATACAAGTAACAAAGATTGCTCTGTTAGAAAAGATGCAGTTTGAAGTATAGCTCGAGACTAAAATTCGAAGCCTTAGATCTTTTCTGGTAAAATAAAAGGCAGACAACTTTTCGTCTGCTAGTTACTAACTTATACAAAATCCAGAAAGGTCTGGAAATTGTACAGATTACTATCTCTTACTCGGAAACCTGACAGTCGGATATGTATGTGGGCATTTATGTAAAATTAAAAGTATGGATTTGCTGATTTCAAAGGTATGTCAACTTCACAATAGGTGATTTTACTTCATGGCTTACCTCGTTACTCAATTATGTTGCTGACCACATATATAGGTGGAGCGCTTACAATGAATTGCCTTATTTGTTCACCTTACATTTTGGTTTTGGGGTCTTAAAGCTTCTAGCCATCGTACTTCCACTGAGTGGGACAACTTCCCAGTAGGGCTAATAGCCACCCAGCCCTCCTCTACTTCGGCGAAACATTTTCTGCCCCAGTAGTGTGACTTCTTCCCATTCCAAAAAAAAATTCGGGGCACTGCATTAAAGGTTGCGATAAATGGACTCAAAACTAACGGACAAGTACCTCACTTTCTATTACCGGATTCTAAACCCTGACATGACGGAAGAAAGGCATACGCTGAGGATGAAAGTGATGTCGACCTTCGGCACCAACTCTATTTCCCTATTCAAAAGGAACAGTACTTATAAATAAAGGAAAATTAATTATGAACTATCTGGAAGAGTTTGTTATGGAGCTGTCTATGGCACCTGCATGAAGATGTCAATTAAGTAAGCACGCGAGACCTCCTCCACCTCTTCGTTAGCTGGATTGAACCCCAATAGATATGGCTGGGTAGTACTGGAGAGAGAATAAACTTGGAAGGAGGTATAAATGCTACGAGGATAGTTTAGGCTCTATGACTGCATTTCCTTTGGGCGCCATGTCTTCTAGGCTATCTCAGTAGCGTATCAGCCTTTCTGTGGGTTGGCACTACATACTATACCCCAGTATCAGAGATTCTTTCATCCACAAGAATGACTCAGGGTACTACACCTATAATACCATTCAAGAAAGTTAGAAACAAAAGTTTTTAATTCCAGACAAATTTAGTGTTTAGGCCATCCCGTGCTACTACCTTTAACTTATTTCTCAATAAGTCAATATAAACCAAAGCCTCAGGTGTGACTTGAAGTACTTTGTCTGCTTAAATATTGCAAAATGGAGATGCTGTTTCACAAAATGCAGAATGTTATGTCATTGCTCAAATAAGCTTTTCAGATTTTCAAGCTCTGATGCTAACTTCCGATTTTCATCCGCCTTTTTCACGGCAGCAGTGGCATCTTCATAGTACTGCTTTGCCTAAAAAAGACAAAAAATGACCCCATTATTCATCCCGATATTTCACTTAAAAGTCTGTCTTTATTTATTTCCCAACCGCAATAAGTTACCATTAAGACCGGAAGATTTTTAGCAGTTTCTTTAATAATCTGTTAACTACTGAACGCCTATTTTAGTAGTATATATTAAGAACTATGGTACCCTATTTGTGCTTCCTTACTAACCATGGAAGTACTATCTTTATGCCAAACATAACAGATTACGGGAATTTAAATTTAATTTTAGGGCGGGAAAAATTCTGCATCAAATACAATGCAAAATAATGTATGTAATTCAAACTGTACATTTTACAAAGCAACCGCCCAGAATTTAGCCTATTGATTCGTGCTGTCATTGCAGAATTTTTCACTCGCAGTCATTGGTAAATTAATGCAACTCCCAAGTGGTAGGTCGTTCCGCCTGTCTCCACCTTTCTAGTGAGTAATAACAGCTACATAGGATGTACTCGATTCTGTCGCACAGCTACGAAGCTGAATAATTAGTCGCAGATTGTTGTCCTCTTAGCGTCAGTACTTCATTGTCATAACACTATTGTCTTAAAATACAGTAGGAGTCTAAAAAGTTGTTTTAAAGTATTTTTAAAATAATTCAATAAGAGGGTTTAAAGTGCCCATTATTGTGCTATCACTCTCAGGTTGTGATTACGGTTTTTTAGTCATGTTTAGTGGGTTTTGTAGATGTACCGATTAATTGAAACAAATTTTCTTATTCCAATTACTGTGGAATTACAAAAACTTCGGTTTTTTATATATGAGCTATTTTTATTTATTCTGTACCACACAGACTTTCTCCCTGAAATGAACTTATGAAGGAATTGGATAGACAAGTACATTTATATGGTCTCTGCATTAATCTTTTATTTTTTAATACATCTGATAACACGTGACCAAATCGTTGATTTCTTATTAAAAATACGCACTCTCTTATCAAAATATTGAGTTAAATGAAGCTAGAGCAGCCGTCGGCAAAATCGGTTAAAGGTGTCCTGTTACTTGCAAAGCCGTCGCTATTCAGGGAGGATTTAAGCCAACCGCATTGCATAAAAATTCGCGAGAGACGTGTTTTTCTGCCTTTTTGCCTAAAACACTGCAGGTGATTAGCTAGCAGAATTGAGATAGACAGCAGGCAGTAGTGAATACGAAGAGTCACTCAAAGTCACCGGTGTATTATGAAGTGGGGTCGCTTTGAGCTATGGAAAATTGCACTCTAGACTCCTTCCAAAGACAGGGGAATTTAGAAAAAAAAGAACAAAAAACAGCTATGCACCGAAATTCAGGGTATATTATATATTTTAACTACTAAAATATTAAAAAATGTGTAATAGCCATGTGCTTAATTCCAATAAATTGTTTGCATTAACTACAGATAAAATAAGTATTTTAACAGATATTAGGTGTTGACCTTGGCTTTGTCATTAAGCAGCCAGAAGAGCATAGAGAGAGCAAGAAGTAGACGAGCTCGAGGATCAGGACGACCGGCTGCCGAGGTGCTGAACTCAGCTCCGTCCAAAGCCGCTCTTTGACTCCTATACCGGTTGATTGTTGTCAGCATTTTCTTGGCCTCTGCAGCATCTGTTTCACCTAATTCCCAGAAAAATTTTAGCTTGCTAAAACAAGTCTTAACAGATAGCCTCTGGCATTAAATGAACTTGGGTTTTATCACGTGATTCCACGCTTTTTTTGATAACCCTGTCGTCTATCGATCAAGCGTCAAACTTGGCAACCAAAAGTACATGCTCTGAAATTTAGAAATTTTACTTGCCACTTAGGCAATACCAATTTGCTAGTAAAACAGAGTTCTAAACTTTTCGGACAAATACCAACGGGATTATTTTATTTCGCGGTCCAAATTTCTTAAATAGGTTACTGCGACAGTAGGAAGGGATCTCGAGATCGGAGGAGATATTAGCAAAAAGTTGCAAAAAGCTGCTCTTTCTAGGAAAAAATTAGAAAAATATCAATTCATTTAGATAACAATAAAATTTGGCTTAATCTTCTTGAGTCTACACATTAATCAGTACAGGAAGCAGTGAGGTACCTTTCAACTGAGGTTGTGGCACAATTAAATGAACATCATCCTTTGCGTTTGGGTTTGCCATCCCAGCTGTATCATTGATGACTGCTTGATAACAAGTAATTTTCCATCAACTGTAGGAAGTCATTGTAACCATGGGCTCTGTTGAAGCCATGACAATTATAGTTTGTTTTGCTTTCCAACTACCAAGGGAACTTTTTTCACGATGCCTATTTACAGTGAAAACACGTCGACACTTGGTCGATGCTGGTGTTGCTTACTCACCGTGTCTCGCAACACAAGCAGTTATTGACACTACTTTGAGGTCACTAGCATCCCGCATGACGTATATCTGAAGCTGGAGCTGTCAATCTAAATGGTGGCTAAATGCCTATTTTTCCTAAAATCGCTTAGTTTTGTACCTTAACTTATAGGTTAACATGAAAACGGACAATAAGTGCAGTGGTAATTGACTGCTGTTTTCCTTTAGGACCCCTAGCATCCAACACACATTTTGTGAGTCACTCTAAGCCGCATTATTTGAGGCTGTAGGAAGAAGTTTTGGTGTCTCCATTAAACAGCGTACAATGAAGAAATTTTTTGTAAGTGAAGGCGCCAAGCCCGATGATGGACGCTTAGCCACTGTAAGAGAGTGAATTGGCATGCAAGCATTTCAAAGACTGGCCCAAGCATGCTGCCAGTTCTAAACATTCCCTTCCATGAATGTCTGCCAGACCCAAAACTTCTTACGCTGTATGCGTGAGAGACGAGTTTTTCTACGGGAAAAAGTCAACCTAATTACTTATTAGCATTTGCAATTTTGAAAAGTTGCCTTGCACCCATTTTGACATGATCAGTTTGACTGAGTTGACCTCTAAATGATGAATTAAAAGCTTATTTAAGTAGTACGAAGAAAATGAGGAAAGGCAGCTTAGTATCTCCATCCTCCAACATTCGGAGTTGTTTTGGAAACTGCCAAGTTTATCCAACAACCAACACAGATATTGCTGCACTATATACTAGAATAAGAACTAAACCTGACTGAGGACAGTGCAAACAATTTGTGGACATGCATTGCAGACCAGTTCCATACTTATGGCAACCTTTACACAGCTGTCAACTTCTCCATGGGCGATAATGCTTGCCTAGGTATCCCATTCAAGACTGTCATGGTTGTTTTTATCGCCAGTTGTAAATAATACAGTTAACTGCGTTAGTGATTGGATTCACTGCAACTTTAAATGATATAGAAGCAATTATGAAAAACAAAGAATGAATAAAGCTTACAAAAATGGTTCGGGAATAGCCCAAGTTATTCTAATTAGCTAATTAAATTGATTCATTTTACTTTCGTTCTCAAGTTCTTAAAGTAGTCAGAACAAAGTGGAACTATGCTTCAAATTATATTTGATTTGTAAATTACCTACTATTAAAGTAGTCTGTGTACTCACTAATCATTTATTATGCTCAAGGAATCAGAAGCTTATTTGAAGGAGATTCAGTCTATCCAATCCTGTGCTTTCATTACCACGTAGGTGTATAAAATGCGGAAGACCATTCTACTACATTCCCAGGGGTTCTATTTGGCCAACTAAACCTATTATATTCATTTTTCGCCTCAAATATAAAAGGCAATATCGATTTTAACATTTTATTTAAGTCTAGACGTTTCTCCAAAAACCCTCCTAAGCTCAAATCAGAATTTATTGTAGAAAGCTTGCATCTTGTTTATTTTTCAGCGTAACTAAGCGCCAATTTGCATGCATTCTCTTCTTTTTACCTTTCTTTAGTAAATGCATCACCATGCTTAAATGTGATTATTTCACTAGTTCATTCTACTTTTAATTTTTTATTCGCAAAAGAATGAAAGGAGACTAATTAGCAGGCAGAGGCACAAAGGCTTAACTGTAGCTCCAACTTACGCAGTTACAATCAACGTGTTTTTTTTGCCAAAATAGGGCAGGAAAAAACATTTATCACAGTGTATTAAAAAATCAACATCTGTCCTCAATGGCCCACAAAGGAGAACACGAGTAAACTCTGGTTCCATATCCTCGTTCCCTGAGGATTGGACAAAATATGACTTCATTAAGAGTTAATGAAGTTGTGAATTATTGTGGAGTAAAAAACACCACGAAGGAATATTTTGATAATAAAAACGGACTTGACCTCATTCCAAGTTTATTTGGAAAGCCAAAAAGTTCGCTTTAAAATGTAGTTTATTTCAGTGATACTTACCACTATGAATCAATGGCGCTCTTCTAATCCAGATACAGCACGGTTTTGTTTTAAACTTTAAAACTCTTTGTAGATAAAAATACCGAAGTAACAAATACCTTTCAAAGACACACTAACTTCCAAGGATTAACTGAAAACTGGTACCTTACGACTTAAATATCATACATCAACTTGAAATCATGTTGAGTGAATAGAGCAGGTTCGATATCTTGTAGTGGAGCATTACTAGGGCCACACAGGAAGCATTAAGATATATTTAAAACGGTGATTTACCAAGTAGCAAAAATCCAATCACTTGTGACAACCCTTTAAATTCAACATGCCATCATGTGGGCATTAGTCAAAGTAAAGTGAAATCAAATATAGTATTCTGTTATTATAAACAAGGCACACCCTAATTCTATTTCTCGGAGGCTATAAATGCTGATAAACAAATCTGGTTTCCTTGGATGTCGCATAATTGCTAGACAAATCTATTTAAAGTGTCTTGAGGAAAATGAAAGAGTAACTTTGAGCGAACATGTTGCCGCCAAACTGTAAATATTCTGAACCTTCAATCCGACTTAGTCCTCTTTTTTAGGAAAGGTCCCTTACTCGATTCTGTATATGAGACACTACTCCTTCTAGTGAAACCGCATTTTTTTACCATTCATAAGCTGATGGCGATATGTACTTCAGTACCGAACTACGCTGCTTCCACACCATAAAAAAAATGCCTCCAATCTCTGCCTTATGCTACGACAATTACTTTGTTCGGAAAAGTAAAATATCGTTAAAGTCACTAGGTATAACTGCGTGATTTCAAATAAAACGTGCGACAGAGCAAGATCAGTTTAATTTGTCAACTGCATTTAAGGAGCACTTCAGTCTTCACGGTTCCAGCCGCTGACTTGAAATCTGCTAGCTCAATTCGTTTAACTTATACTAACAACCTACCAGCTCCACTCTACATGTTTTGTGATGCCCAAAATAAAGCATTGTACAACTTCTAAGGGGTGACTTGGATCATAAAAAGCCGTAATATTTCAAAAAATTTTAAGCATGGTGGAAAATAGAGTAATCGAAGGAGTTTCATTTATTTTGCTAAAAAGTGAGTAAGGGCCCTACGTGAGTTAATTAATGAAAGTTAAAAGGTATTAAATCTCAGCTGACTAAAAAGTTATTCAAGGCGTCTTTAAGGCCATCCCACTTAATCAAGAGTTTACAAATATTCCACTTTAATTTACTACAAAGGCTGTAAGTTCTCCTAAACTTAAGCGCTTGCCTAGTAATTTCAAGTAAGAAACCTAAATATGCCTTCCAGTGATTTAAAAATGTGACTTTTTTAAAGTTTCCCTAAAAGGAGTAAAAGGGAAAGGTCAAATTCTGACTGGAAAAATCATGGCTATTAATCTTGCTTGGATTTTAGACCCACTTACTCCTAGTTTTGCGATTAAAAGTGGACACACTGACCCCATTTGATGATGCATCGACTCCATCAGACTTGTAAAAATTATCTCGAAGAAAATTGTTATACTATTGCATTACAATCGACTCCACATCAGTAATTGCATAAAAATTTGCCTAAAAAGATTTGTAGATGAAAGAAGAAGTGCATTACATTTAGTTAGTTAATTCAAATTGAACATTACAGATAGAGTCACGAACTGTTTTGTTTCCCAGAGTTTGTTTGTTGAAGTTTAGGAAAAGGTGACATAAAGAAGAAAGTATTTGTTCCACCTCACTGCGGTGGTTAATAATGTAGATAAATGAACTAAACACGCAGGTACATTGACCACTCACCAAGTTCCTTCTCATCAACTGGTTGTAATTCCAAAAAGACTGTATCGCATTCCCCCGATATAGCGGGTTTTCGAATTCGCGTGACAATGATGGATGACAGATGATTAGCCCAAATATCGACTACTCTTGCGTATAGGTCGTCCGCAACCTGATCTTTTTGGGCAGGTTTTGGAAGCACTGAGGGTTTTTTGTACACCCTTGAAAGGAAAAGGGGTGAGTTTAGAGAGAGAGCAAATTCCTCGCAGGAGTTGCGATCCTTCAACACCAAAGCTGGTGGCATTGGACGGCATCCGTCCATTCCGGGGATCTGTTGTGCCGCTGAGGGATTAATCATGCCCTGGGGACAACGATCTGCCTCCTTGTTGGCTTCTCTTTCGACGTGTTCACAAACAGGTTCTTTTTCGTTTAGGTAAAGCTTGTAGAATACCTCCGCCATTTGGAAGTACCCACCGGCAGTGCGAATGTGACTGGGACCATAGGCGCATGACGAGTAATAGATCTTCAAAAAGTTATTTATGGAGGGTTTTAAGTGTTAATTACTTCTTGTGAGTTAAGTGAGAAAGTTGGTCACTAAATATCAAATCATTTTACACTGGAGACATCCTTGTTGGACACCGCGAACCAATGATCAACATTTCCACAAAGTTCATGATGTTCAACAGCTCTTTAACCGTTTTTCTAACTACTTACTTAATCAATTTCTTTTAGGCCTGCCTAAGTAATTGCACTGCTTTCGAGATCCAAATGCTAGAAGATGTTTACAGCATTGTTTAGCGTGCTCAGGCTAAACATAACTTTCATTGCTACCCATTTTGAAAGAAAATTACATCATGCGAAAAGGTTAGCCCGATAAACAAATGGTTTCTTCCTATGCAAATAAAGTTACAGCTTTTATTCTATTTTTAGCTACTTCATTGTATTTGGACTATAAAATAAATGGAAATGTGGTTGTGTGACTATTGCAACATTGTTTATTTTTGAGCCAGCAGAAGCTGAAAGGAATTTTACAATGAATCCGTGTAATGTAAAACTGACATCCAAATCTAAAACTGATTGAAAGCTAATTTATTGTGCCAAGTAGTGAAACAGGTAATATGATGCTCTGTGTCTCCAAAAGTAGCTTAAAAACTAGAAAATATCCAAAAATCTACCTTGATTTTAATGTAAGACCTTACAGCACTAGAGCACACAGTATTCTACTAATAAATAGCAGGTAAAAACTACGTAGAGGTTAAGTAAGCTTGCATCTTGAGCAAGGCATTCCAAGGCAGCTTGATATTCGCCTTTAGTTGCAAAAAGGAGGCCTAATTTCCTCTGAACCGCTGATCGTATGGCATCAGGACATTCATGCTGGGTTTTTAGCATTATCCATTGTGCTTGGGCAAGGTTAGATTCGGCTTGTTCCAACCGCTTGAGCACTATTAGGAAGCATATTAGCGATATTCAGACAATTTTATAGGCTAGTTTACATAATTAACACCTACATCAAGCTCCTAATGATGACTATTCCGCAATTTAGTAAGTGGCGATTAAGTGAACAAAAATTTTGTCAAACCGATGGTAAATGTGGAAGGTTGGGCTTTTAAATTTTTGGTAACTCACTTATGTTAGCTTCAGCCAAGAGAAGGTACGGAATAACCAACTCAACGCTAGCCATGCCGTATACCTCAGCTGAAAACTTTAGGCACTGAAGAGCTGCTGGAATAGCAGCCTCCGCCATTCCACCAAATAACAATTTCAGTCCTGTGTTCTTCGTTACTTCGAACAAATTAGTCTACGAAAGATGAGTACAGTGAATGCTCATGTTTGCCTCCAAACAAGACAATTAACTAACTGATAATCATTCATGAAGTAAAAAAATCACCTGAACTTTCTTGATTTTTTTCATCTTTTTTAAACGCTCTTCTTCTGTTGGAATGAAGCCTAGAGGTTTACGCAACCATTCCAATGTCGAACAGATTCTCTCATGAATGCCGATCCAATCAATTTTTTGATGCTCTACGTTGCTAAATTAAGAAAAAAAGTTTCAAGATTACTGTTTTGTCCTAAGATGGTTTTAGTTAATCTGGGAAACCGCACTTTAGTACTTAAATAGTTTACTAAATATTCTCATAAAAATCACTTGTAGTGGAGTTATAGTTTTGGTTTACACTAAGAATATGGATTTACTTTTTGAGGCTATCCACGTCCCTAGTTTTTTATTCATTGTGATGAACAATAAATTTGATTTACCAGTAAAGGTGTTTCAAAAAACACGAAACAAATAAATCTTGCTTCAAATAATTCCTGCGATAAAAAAGTCAAAATTTGCTCTAATTTAAAACTTTTTTCGTAGACGAATCAAGCAAAGACTTGCATATTACTTAATGGAATGCACTTAAATAATTTTTTAAATTAGAACATTCTGAGTGTTAATTCATTTGATCACGAACAACCATTGTGTTAGGTACCAGTAATAGGTGACTCTGCATAGTGAACATTGAAGGTATGCTGGCTTAGAGCAAACTTCGCATTTAAGGTCAGCATCTCGTGGATTGGAAAGGGGAGAAAATGAATTTGCCGGTGGAGGAATAGTGGAACGTGCAAGTTCATTGCTGGAACAGGATTTTGTGGATGGACGCGCACAGTTGGCTGAAATGTTATTTGGCCCTAACTTCGCAGAGCTATTCCATTCCATAATATGTGGTGATTTGACGAATAATGCGCAACCGCTTATAATTTTGATATTTCCCTGACCTATGTTGCTGTGACTACAAGCTTAAACAAAACATCCTGAATATAAAGATAAAACTGGGGCTAAAGTATACATTCACGGATTACTTAGCGGCAACATTTATTTTAAATTTAAAAAATATCAATTAAATTTGTTTGCTACTATTCTTCAAAATGAAAAACGTAACATGGCCCAGTGTGTACACGTAGATACATACTTCTGCTTGTTAGAGAATCAAAAGCTTGCAAAAATTTATGCTAATGTAGATTGCGCTCTTATCTTTTAATCGTCTGTCTTCAATCGCGTGAATCGAGCTGACTAATATAATTTGCCAAGTTCCTATCAATACTCTGAGCGTGGGAGAGCAATCACGTAGCACATGTTTATTTGAAAGCACCTTTTAGATGAGAAGTTCCCAATACAATCACGGCCCTCGTTTTGGAATGGTAGTCAACTACCGTACCTGCTTCACAAGAATAGCAATTAATATATGAACCTCCTAGCCGTTCTACTCATTTCAAGGGAATAAAGGCCAAGAAGGAGGATTCTGAATGCTTAGAGTGCACTCATTCCTCAGGTTACACAAAGGCCATTTCGTCACAAGATTCTTGTTTGCCTAAAAAGGGGCATTAAAACGAGAGTGTTTTGCATTTGCATGTGCTGTTTTTTGAAATACAACTTATCATTATGGGCCAAATTTGGGCAAGACTAGGAACATTCGGCTAATTCATTACTTGATGCTACATCACCATTATTGTAATGCTAAATGTAATACCTATGTTGTTTTAATGTACCTTTCAGGGAGGAGGAAAACAGGAAATCCGAATCTCGTGATCGGATCGTCCTCTCCCTTACCTAGTGACTGCGGCTCCCCTCCTTCTTGAACATTGTATTTTCCCTATCCATCTTGCCACCTTTAATAAAGATGTCCAAAGCGAATCAACCGGGCTTGTCTAGGAATGCTAGGAAAAGGAAAGCGGAGACCGATGAGTCTCGCTCCACATAAATTTTAGAACTAAAAAGCTTTTGATCACTTTTGATATCTTGAAGCATGGATGGTGTAGCGTCCCGAGACTCCCTGAAGACGAAAGAAGACACAATACTAGGGCAGAATAAATATTCAGCGCAGAGGTGGCTAAGCTATTGACATGGCCCGAAAGCCCAACCCACCCAGCAAGGTACAAGCGGACTACTTCAATAGTGGCGCCTCACCAATGCCGGGGGATAAACCACCATTGTATTAAAATCGAAAGTTAGGAATTATCTAAACCCTTTCTACCACTCCAATATTCATGGCTTTTTGAAAAAAAATGCACTTAATAGTATGAACCATGTCTTTGTTTATTTTTCGACAGTGCTATTTGAACCCAAGAATGAGAGGCATGAATATTCTCTGAACCGTTTCCCAACGTTTGCTAGCAACTCACAGTTTTGACATTATGAATAAAATATTGCTACTTTCAACTCCGACAGTAGGAACCTTAGTGCATTTAGATGCCTCATTTAAAAGGCAAACTTACTAGCAGTTTAAAACCCACTATTTTTGAGCTGATCCCTAGGCTTGTTTTCATGAATTAAGCAAGATTAATGAATGCAAATTTGTTTATCTAAATCCGAATAGTCATCACACCTTTAAGGCAATAGTAATATAAATTAACCGTTTGCTCTGCAGTTTTATTCCTAAATCTTAGAAATGCTTGGCTACCTTTGATTTTAACACACCTTTAGTGGTTATTTAGCCTTGAAAGAATTGACCTTTTGTATTTTTGGTTCATCCATAAGGTTTTGGACAAAAAATGGACTCTTTGTTTGACAAGTGAAATGCAAATTCTACAAGTCTCTGCATAATATACCAAATTACAAGTGCAATCAAGCTGATTGCTGTTATTTTACAAAACAGCAGCGTGACTTGTATTGTACTTTAGTATAGTCAAATTTTGGCTTTCTGAGACTCCCCCAAAGGCTAAAGAGGACATAATGCAGGGCAGAATATATATTGTCGACGTACACTATGGCTTGGGACTACTGCCCTGGCTCGGAGGCCAGTCTGCCCAATGGAAGTAAAATGATGGAGCCTGTAATTAGACAGTTTTCTAAATCGCAGGTTAAGCTAACAATTAACGTGTAACACGGTGTCTCTCCCCTCCGAGCGTCGTCCCTGGCGCTTCCTTTGCTCAGCCTCTCGCGTCAGCTATGACAACGCAACCGGTGTCGTGAGAATGACAGTCACTAGCCAACCTTGTCTGTCATTGAATTATCATACAACTTAGAAGGTACTCGACCCCAACGTTACTGATCGCCCTTGCTAATTCTACCGAATCTGGGGTTTGTCCTGTATGGGAACTGCATTGGGGACATGAAGGGAACGTGTCGGCCATCAGGCATGCCCATCATTAGTCGGAAGAACATTGGCCCAAAAACCGTCTAATATATTAAGGAACGTGGTTTAAAATAAATTGCTGGTAATAACGTTTCGGGTGTGTTCCTAATTTCCACCTTATTTTAATTTCAGTACTGCCTAGCCATTTCTATCTGGGCTCTATTCGGCTAATGGAGAGATAGAGGAGGTGTCACGCCTTTACTTAGTTGACGTCTTAAAATAGGCACCATATGCAACCAGTGGAATGGTGCAGAGGCCATTTCATCCGGCGAAAGTACATTGACGGAGCCTCCATATGGTCCGTAACTACAACCGGAAGCTAAACAATTAATGCATTGCAATATAAGCTACTTTTTTCATAATTTATTACTTATGTCATTGTGAATATTTCGGATAAATATTAATGAACATCCGACCTTACAGTTATTGATGGCAATAAAAATCTACTTCATTTAACTATTCGCGTTTTCAAAACCTTGATAATGACGCCTTTGTAATAAGCCTAATTTGTTCCCTCAAGTTTCTCCCAAAAGTAATGTGAACACACAACCTAAGTAACCTCAGATTTAGTCAACTATTAGCAATTACCCAAGGGTTCTACCATTGGTAATAAATAATATCCCCTTAACTTTCTTAGAAATGACCAGTTGTCCTGTTTCGGAAAAAATCCACCGCATATAGTACCAGCATAAATAATTTGGCAAATAAATATATTTAGGTGTTTTAGGTCCACCACTTCAAAGGATCGTCTTTTCACAATGCTGCTCAAGAAAGCAGAAGAGAGTTTGTAGCTCTCCAAGACTTCCCTGAAGGCAAAAGAAGACGTAGTGCTGGATCAGAATATGCATTGTCCACGCACAGTAGGGCCCGAAACCCATGTCGCCCGACAAAAGTACAACGGCGAAGCCCCCAAGTGGAGCATTACCAAAACCATGGTTATACCAGTTTGTCAAAACACGTCTTAAAGCTAAAGGTAAGTTAAATGTTCACCAATTTTTTTACGCAGTCCTAGCTATTGTCTCTTAAGTAAATTGTTTGTTATTTTATAAACGTGTTAGCCATTACAACATTAGGAATTAAAGAATTTAAAATTTGCCTGTTGGAGCTTCACAGAGGGTTCTATAAATCCGATGCAAAAGTGGAAATATTGAAGACTTAAACCTTCTGATACTAAGTGTTAAAAGTTAAAGTGAAAGCAGCTTTTAAACAATTATTTTTTGGTAGATTCGTTACTGCTTTTATGTGATTTCACAGCAAATCTATGAATACGCAAATTTCCCAGTCTTCGTTCCTCTCCATCAGTTTGTTTGAGAGATATATGCCAGTGGGAAAATGTCAATGGAGAAGAAATGTGAGGTAAAAGCTGGAAAAAGGATCATTTTTCAGCATTACTTATCGGAATGTGCAAATGAAAAATTGGTTAGCTTATGCAAGGGTTGGTTATAACACTTTCTGGTCTTTTGAACTTCTGTTGTAACTGATGGAGGAATGAGGGGAAAGAGGAAGGGATTGGACAGTTGCCTCTGCTTAGACAAGTCACGTGAATGCATCGCTCCGAGGGAGACGCTGGCCCCGTGCTGTGACAGTGGAGTTGTCATTCGTGAGTAAACAGCGAGGCCTGCAAATTTTATCAGTAAAGCGTAATGCTCCATCCTCTACTCAGTTTTGAAAAGGAGGAGCTTTCTACTTAGAAGTATTTCTGAGCAACTGACTGCAGATTGTTCTGATTAACATCAGTCCTAATTTCACCTAATCAACCAACTCAAAAATGCACAAGCCCAATCCCCTTGACATTTGTTTCCGGTGTCAGATATTTTGTCGAGATGCTGAGCAAAAGATATTAATGATAATTGGCAATAGGATAGGAGATTTTACTTTGTGAAATATTTATTAAAGAACTATTGCATAAAATTGTCAATGAGCTTTTTTGGTTATAGTGAAATCCATCCGAAAGGTTTTTGTTGAACTAATTTCTTGTCAAATTTTGAAAAGCGCAAGTAGCAGACGTGCTCACGCAATAAAAGGCATTTGCTCTGTCAAAAGTCAACCAATTAACTTTTTGCTGGACAAAACTTTTTAACCAACTTATCCAGATGAATTGAGCTGATTGGATGAAACCGATTTACAAAGCGTCGGAAACCAAGAAAGATAGTCCTGTACTTCTCAAGTATTTTCTTTTATTGTAAAGCAGTGTAAAATGTAAAACTTGTAATTTATTTGTGTCATATTTCCCATCAAAACGGTTATTTGAACTCATAAAATATTTCATCAGACAAATTGAAGCTTCTCCCTCTAAATCCTGTCAATATTATGACCTTTTTTAAAAATAACAGACCTTTAAACACTAATTGTTCCACCGAATTCCCCTAACTGCGTCGAATAGAGCTTGGTTGAAGATGCTCAGTTCATTAAATAAACGAGCGATGTCATGTATGTCAGAGCTTATGACACCTGGAACGAAGTGTTAGAACTTCTAATGTAAATCACTCTTCATCTTCTCAGCTTGATAAATTTGTAATTACTTTAAATAAAAAAGGTTTGAATTATTGGCACTCAGCTAGGTAGTTATGGAAGTAAGTGCGTGTACAGGTAGGCAGGAATGAAAGCGGTCAAGATACGTTCAGATCAAACTGAGACTTCGGGGAAAAAATTAGGATGTAGGAATCATATTTACTTTCCATTTTAGTCCTTTACTACAATCAAAAACTTACCTTAGCTCTTTAAATTAATTAGGATTCTTTGGGATAGATTAGCTTTTTTGACATGGCCGTAATCTTGGAAACTGTGCATGTTCATGAACAATTGCGTCTGCCAGAAAACAAAAGGAGTTTTGAGTTGTGCTGTGTGATAGCTGCTTATGTATACACTATTTATAGGATTACAAGAAGGATTAGTACATAAGTTTAACTACCATGGCCAGGATCGGCATTGTCGAGTGTATGTCAAGCTTGGAAGCATATGAACCATCCAAAAATCATTACGTGGAATAATTTTTCATCACTACGATTTGTCTGAGGCCTTTCAAAGCGAATTGCAGTCTTGCGTGCTAAAGCATAGTCTAGTCCACGTAATAAAGGCCTCCCACTTATTGCTGGATTTTTATTGTCACGACTCTGTATCCTCTTACGGAAGTATAATCTAAGGTCCCAAATTGACATGGACATTCATAAAAACTGCTTGAATGGCTATACAAATATACGCGTGTTTTATTAAACTTTATAACCTTCAGTAATAACGTAGATGGTAAAAGACGCCCACGCTGCACATAATTTGGTTATACATTTAAGGCCTTCTATATTTCTACAGAATTTACCCGTTCAAATCATGATTTTGGTAAAGAAAATTTAAAAGTATCGCACATTTTCATGATTTTTTTGGTATTGACTGAGGTTCATATAAACATCATTGAGGTCAAACGTGTAGAGACATTAGTAAAAAATGAGTAGAAGCACCAAATCCCAAATAGCGGTTTGAAAAGACAATGTTGAATGCTCATGGGTACAAAAAATAGCTTTTATTTGAAAATTTCTTTTGGCTCTAATAAAATTATTTGGTGTCACTTTGTGTGTTGGTTAAAGCTTTCTTCGCAAGACTAAGGCATTAGGGTAGTTTTATTAATTTCCATAAAAATCCAATCCACAGTTGTGAGTTACGGTGTATTTGGAATCAAAGCGCCATTTCCTAGTGCAAACTAACTACGCATCATAAACTTTAAAATTTTTGCTAAATCTCATAATTTCTTATTTGTGACGCATTGAATCAATTCGGATACGTCCCGCCATGGTTAAAAAAGAAGAAAATCGTACATTTATTAAAATAGTAGATGTTATTTGAGGAGAAAGCAAAGAAATACACGTCTCTATTTATGTTTTTAATACTCTGTTTGTTTAACTCCTCGTCTAGATTACTCGAGCACTAAAGGCTCCGCCCATGTACTTCCACACGATGGCACGGCCTCGGGCTATACCAGTAGATGCTGGCCCTTCTCTGCGTTGGTAATACATATTCTATCGTAGTATTACGACCTTTTCAGACTTTAAGCAAGACTCCGGGCGTTACATTGGCAACAGCGTCAAGCATTTTCAATCCGTAAAGACGGCTACCCTGAATTCTATTACCAAATGCTTTACCTTAGCGTGACTTAAAGTGAGTGTATGCTGCGTATGAGAGAATCTGCGACTACCCCTAACAACAGGGTTGTAAATGATGTTTATATTGGGTAACTAATCCGATTCCGTGCTCTGCAGGAATGCCATTAACAACTGATGCGACACTAGCTGCAAAACTACCTGGAAAGTTTATAACAGAGGTGTCCATGGTATCTGTAGGCAGATATTAATTAAGTGAAAACGTGAGACCACCTCCACCTCTCTCCTAGCTTAATAGAACCCCGACGGATTTAAATGGGCAGTAATGATGCGAAAACAAGGTTGCAAGGAGGAGTAGATGCAGTTTTACATTCCTGCAAAATAATTTTTTTGATTTCTCGTTCCTTTAATGGCTTCCCTTAAGAGCAGTGTTACAGAGAAAAGCACTATATTATTCCTTCGCCTGATACAGTTCGCATACAGGGCAAAGGCCCAGCTCTAGAGAAATTGTCAAGAAGGATCAGTGGTGTTGCGTCCAGGTATCTTCCCAGGTACACGTAAAATTGATGACAGGCGTGATTGGTTTGTGGGTGTTTTTCTTACGGCACTGACTACCTTGTGTTTGCCCTCGCGGTTGACTGACCAGGGGGAGCAACGGAGAAGAGGTTCAAAAGGATAGAGGGGCTACTTTGTGCTTTTTTGTTTGTGTAATTCACTGGGTCTTGGTTTCTGGTAGAAAATTTAGACTCCACCTTTGTATTTCCGCTGGACGTCATGGCCTCCGTGACTTGTCAGTAGCCCCTCTCCTCCAGCCTTTCTCTACGACGGCAATAAATCTCGCCTAGAATTTTGACTTCCTTCTACTTCAGAAAAGACTAGGAAAACTACAAAAATTCCAAAGAATCACGTATTGCATTCCTATTTCCTAAATGAAAGTGTTAAAAACAACAGGCTACAGGAAAGACCTCAGAAACTATCATAAGTGGAATATATTTGTATTTTTAAAATTATTAGATAATTTGAATTAATCACATGAGTATGTTTATACATGCATAAATCATGATATTTCCTCGAATCCGAATCTTAAACATATTACAAATGTTTTATATAATGAAGTGGCTAACTTTATGGTCATCCATATAAACTACAAACAAGTGTGCGACTTGCATACAAAATTACTTAACCCATTTCCTAAAATTGGTTTAATTCCGAGAGCTAGATATGTATCACCTTCAGTCTTTCCTGAAGGCGAAGAGAGCCAACAATACAGGGGCAGAATGCGTATTGTCGACGTACGGAAGGTCTGAGAGTCTACTGTCAAGGTCCAGAGAACACTCCACCCAACAGAAGCGCAAACGTGGAGTTTTTAGAGAACACAAAAATAAGACGAAGAGTTAAGCAGATAATCAAACTACTACAGGTATATAAATGCATCAGGATATTACTAATTATTAAGTACCTCTGTCTAAAACAAATAAACAATTTTTATTTTTTGCCAAATGAAGTGATTTTTATAAATCTTTTTTCGAAGACAAGCATTGTGCTTATTGGGTTTTAACTCCACCGTTTGGATTGTTGCGTGGTTGACCCCTTTAAAGTGGAATTACTTTTTGAGACCTGTCTCGATGGTACAGTGTGATTGCTTCCTCCTCCCCATTTAGAAATGCTCGATGGGAAGAGTAGTTATTTGCCTTTTTGTAGAGTGAGCTTCTTACTTCACCACGTTAGTGATTTGCCCCAAAATTACAGCTGTCAAAGTCATGTAACTGTCACGGCCATATATTTAGTCAAAATATTTGCAACCCAAACTGCCTAGAAAAGACTGAACTTCCTAAAATGTTTTATTTTCCCGTTACCTCGTACTAATATGGCAAGACCATATGGTACGCTTGAGCGAGCCACATGTCAGACGCTAGACATATGGTTGCCCTCGATGCAATGCTTTTTGGTGTCGTGTGACTACTTTCATAACCATAACTTTAGCCTTGGTTACTTCAACCGGCACTACTGCTTGAGCTCATCTTTTAGGGAGCATACCAAAGAGTCGCAGAATCTACTTCTTCAAAGCGCTTATTTCTGATCGGCTGAGCTCGATATAAAGTAAAGGAAAGTAATAGAACTTTTTTCTCGTTAATTATTACGAGATTCAATCCACTTATCTTGTATTTTGAAGAAGCTCTTCTTTGGTTCAACGTGTTACCCTATTTTTGAGCGAAATACAAGGAATACGTTTTGCGTCATGTTAAGGGTAAAGATTTCTTCACAGCTTATGGTTTTGCAAAAGCCAATGCACAAAAATACGCCTTTCCACGCATTTAGTGTTCTGCCTTTTAAATTCTCACAATGACATGCACAAAAAATGCTAACCCTACCGAGAGTTATGAATTGTTGAGCTATTCTACACTGTTGTACACCCACATTATCATTTACTGAAAAGCGGCCGGCTTGATTCCGCCCTAAAATTTGGCCCTGTTGAGGCAAAATAGTTTAGTTGCATTAGATAAGGCTTACCTAGGGAAGCATCAATTCCCCACAAAGCTTCATATTTATATTCACTTGTAATAGTTCATGCTGATATACCCTTCCACATTTTAAAAATTTTCTTAACATGTAATGGTAAAGAGATGAGGTATTTCGATCCTTTGATTGTTTGTTAAACTCTTTGTTATGGTCACGCGCAGGTACCGAGGGCCTTGGCTATTGTACTTCCGCCCAGTGGCACGGCCTCCAGGCCACTCCACACGCCCCACAGCCCAATAATGCATATTTTGCCTTGGTATCATGCTCTCTTTAGTATTCAGGGAATTTTCAAAGCTTCACCTTGGTGGCAGTAAAGAGCGAATCCGATGCTAAAAGATAGCAAATATGATTTCTATTACTGAATTTGCAACATTAACCTAATGGAAGAAGGCCATACGCCGCGGTTAAGAAAATCTTTTACGACTCCTACCAACGTCTGCCTTTAAAACTGCGCCCACCGCATGTCTCAAAGGAAAGCCATTAGCAAATCAGGCTACACTGTCCATAAAACATCTGGATAGTTCGTTATAGAGTTATCAACCGTACCCGGATGACGATTTCATTATACCTTCTTCATCTCTCTACTAGCTGATGGGGACCCAAGCGGATATGTCCGGGCAGGAATGAAGCGGGAACAAAGCTGTAAGGAGGATTAGACGTGGAAACTTGCTCCCACAAAACAATTTTGAACACCGTCCTTTATTAAATGGGTGTTTTTAGGCCAGTGTTCTTACCACTAGCTATGGACCTACGTGCTAGCAATCAAATTCCCCCTTCTATTAATAGAGTTCCCAAACAAAATAAATTTTAGGTTTAGTGGAATTTCTTAGAGGAACCTTTGACGCAACAGTCCGATATCTTCTCAGCTGCATACAAATTCGATGACTGGCGTGGTTGGTTTGCAAGTGTTTTCCTTATAGCACCGACTGTGTTGGTGACCATGTTTAGTGCCAGGGAGGATGTCCTAAAGATGGTGGCTATGTAATACTCTGACTGCATGTTTAACTCTGTATTTTGATGATGAGGGCAATAAAATGTATAGCTATTATGATTCCGCTGGGCGGTATGTCCTCCTGTCCCCGCCGATAGCCACACGGCTTACTCTACGAAACCCCACAACTTTTGTTTCAATGACTTGTCCACTTGGCACCTGTGATGGACAGTTACCCAGATTTTAAGTTTCCGAAAATAAATTTTAATTTTGTTAGAGGGTTGCTTTATGCTGGACTTATCCGCGAAAGTAGCTAGTTATGCTTCTTGAATTAGAGGCTTACCTTGCAACTACGATGGCTAAACATTTTGCAATATCGAGGGTGTATTTAAATTTTTAGGTTATGATTAATGGACGCACCCACAAAAAGGGGACACTTTAAATGATTTTATCATTTCTAGCCATTAAATGGCAAAAAATGCGTCTATTAGATGCAAGTCTGACGCAGATGCTTATTCAGACACGTTGTCCTACAAATCAGTGACGCGGTTAAATCTCCTGAAGGAACGGATTTTGCATACAGAGAGCCAAAAAATTTTCTTGAAGCTGACCTTTATTGCCATTTCTGAAGGGCAGGATACCCCAAAATATTACTGCACTCCTTCATGCGGGAAGGCGACGGGGCCTTTTTAACAGCCTAATGTGATTAACAAAACGATTTAAAGGAGAGGTCAAGCTTGTCAGGTGATTAAGCAGTACCTGTTTGGTTTATTGCATCAACTGCGACAAAGTTTCAGTAAAGACGTAAAGCACTACTTTTACCGCGACTTATGCAAACTAAGGTTTGCAGCTTTTAACAAAAAAATTTTAAAAATAAAGTTTCGTAATTGTACTTCCTCTGGGCGGCACTACTTCCAACTCTTGCCAGTAGCCCTCCAGGCCTCCTGTACGTCGGCAGTACATATTTCGCCATATTATTATGACTTCTCTCGTATTCAAACAAGGCTCGGTTTGCCACATTGATGGCAGCAGAAAGCAAACCCGATCCCAAGGGACAGCTTCTCTTATTTCTATTACTGAGTGATATACCTATGATGACTTGTAGCAGGAGCGTTGAAAACGATAACTAGCCACGGAAACCACTAAAGTTTTTGTTCAGCAGGGCTACTGTCAATAACTAAAGCGACACCGGCCTTGAAGCGTCCAAAAATTTAGTTACGAAGCCCCTTACGGTACCTACAAGAAGATGTCAATACGATGAATAGGGGATATTTCCTCCACCTCTCTGCTAGCTGAAGAAAACCCAAGTAGATAGGGTAAAGAGAGAGGTAGATAATAATCAATGTGGCAGGGAGAAACTAGACACGAACTTTTATCTGCAAGGTACCATTTTAAGCATCCCCCCTTGTAAAAGGGCTCTGGTCTTAGGCCAGTGTTCTTACGATTAGTGATAAAACAAAAGATGATCAGCAGGTTCCTCTCCCTCAGTGCAGTTTATAAACAGGTTGGAAGTCTATATCCAGTGGAACTGCCTAGAGGATCAATGCCGGTGAAGATATTTTGCTACTTGAATGCAAATTCGATGACTAGAGCAGTCAGTTTGTTTTGTTCTTCTCAGAGCACCATCTACGTTGCAATGGAAAACAAAGGAGATTGACCAAGGGAAGTCCCGTGAACAGTGCTTATAGAAAGTGAGTCATTTCTGATACTTTTATTTTTTGTTTAGGTCGGCGTTTTAGCAACGTGGGCACTGTCTAATTAACCTGGCCTTCGGGCTATGGGAGTAGTATCTCAGGTCTCTGCACATTGTCAATGCATTTTCTGTCCTAATGTTATAAATTTTTTCAACTACAGAAAAGAAGCATCTGTCGTGTAATCTAGAATTCCATTATTGTGTGAAGATGAACCAAAAATCACTAGCTTCATGTACCTCCAGTACTTCAATGCAGCACATAATTTTACACTGCGCTGTTAACACCCACGGTAATCGCCCAGTCATAAATCTGTCAAACCTACTTTTAAAGAGTGAATTGCACAAATTCATTTTACACTTCAAACGATGAATTCTTGCCAAAAATTACAAGCGTTTCTTAATTTTGGCTTTATAAATAGCTTTTTCCTGGACTTAAAACGCGTCATGCCACTAGAATCCATATGTACTTTTTAGGTGCTTTAGTTATGATGTAGTTATTCCGATTAGAGAAACCGTGTGTTTGTAAATTTGTCATTTTTCTCAAGAAGATTCGCTTATTAAAAGGTTATAAGAAAATTTGCTTCCGTCCTGGTTTTTTAATTTAAACCATTAAAGGCAACCCATAATGAAATTACACCGATTTTTATTTGCAAGCAACATGAATGAGACTCTAACGCTATTTCATGAATTCACCATAAGTTCGTAATAACTTCCGATAAAATCTGCTTAACCTGGCAAAAAAACAGATTTGGCAGACCATAGCACTTTTTGGTTTGAAAATGTTCTGCCCGAAGATACCCAAATGCTCTGCAATGATACACTTTCTAGTTCAAAAAAGGCTTAGTTCGCATCCGGAAACAATTAAATATTAGGTCATATTTTATCCACATAGTTGCAAAAGCCCCCATCCTTCACATGGAACAGGTAGGTATCATATAAACTGTTAGAAATCTCACCCTGATCAAGAAAACTTTTACATCTTATTGACACAAGTCACGGGCATCTATCGAATCGCCATCAACTCTGATGAAAACTGGCCTTGTAAATTCATCCGTCTTTTTTAATACATACAATAATATCATCCCACCACTTTACTGTAAGGTTTGGAAATGGTGCGCCTTAGTTTGGCAGCAAAAATTCTTGACCAGTTTCTTCTTGCTTGTAACTTCTAGTACTTCCAGTTCATTGGCTAGAATTTAACCACGATTATTGAAAGGAAATTTACAACGCTAATCAAAGTTCCTCAGTTTGATTTGTACTTTGAAGCACGATTTTGTGTGCTACTTGTAGCCAATTATCTTAGGAATGCTAAATTAAATGTGTTTGGAAAATAGCTGAGAGGATTTTGAATTAGGCCTTAGGTAATATTTTATTCTGTATTTGCTTTCTTTTCACGTGAGCTTGTCTAAATTATAGAGTGATGTGCAGCTGAAGCGCTCATTTTTTTCACCGTTTACTCCTCTTTTGTCTCTGCACATTATTTAAGCTATCATTTAAAATCCCTGCTTTATCTTAAAGGATTTTCTAATCTCGACAACATCCAATATCTTTTTAACATAACAGAAATTATAACATTATTCTCTCTTAAAGGTTCACGAAATTATTTCTCATTTATTTTACTAAACAAAAGGGGGAAAGATCCTATAATATTAGGATAGAAATTTGTATTATTGACGTACAGAAGGGGTAAGGGTCTACTCGCATGGTCATGGGGGTATTCCACTCAGAGAGAGAACAATCAGGAAGCGTTAGGTGCCCGCGTCATAAAAACTTGAGAGATAAGCAAACTATCAAAATAATATATAGCCCCTTTTCTTTGAAGAGATATCACCGGCACTGCCCATAGTCAAACGTAGTCGGTTCAGTAAGAATAACACCCACAAACCAACCGCGCTAGTCATCAAACTTGCATGCAAGTTGGAAGACGGATGAGTGCAACGTCACTGGATCTAAAGTTACTTCCTGGTCTAACACTGCATTAGGGAAGGGAATGGGGTGATCATCTCGTATGTCCATCAATGGTTGTATGAACTTTGGACTAAAAGCAGAACCATTTAACAAAGGACGGCTTTAAAATAGTTTCATAAGGATAATCAAAGTGTTAAGTATGATTTTTTATTTAATGACGACATTGTGATAATGCGCTTGTGGCCGAGGTAGAATATCCAGTTGAAAATTAAGCCACTCAACAAATAGACTCCTTGTTTACTGTACACTGTATTTTTCAGCGTTGGTGTTAGGCAAAGTAATAAGTTGTAAGACCGTATAAATGGAAACCTGATAGTATCTGTGATAATGTCTCAAAAAGCTTAGAAGACTACAGCTGCAACTATCGTAGTAGACTTTGGTTTTTCAATTTTATAAAGTCAAAACCTGTTTCCTTATGCCATAATGGAATGATCCCAGCTTAAAGTTCACTAGAACTGACTACCTTTTAACTTCCTGGTCGGATAAAAATAATAAAAATAATTAAAACCGAGCGTCACTGACGTTGTTAAACAAAGTGCCCTAGAGTATGAGTAATGCGTAGGACTGTTGTCCAGTTTATGCCCATAAGTACCTCATGCCAACTATCCTCACTGTAAACCATTACAGTTGATTTAAAATGTTTTGTGGTTCGTGATGTAGGCAGAGACTTTATGCCCTTTTCTACTTACGAAACAGCACTAATTATGTCAGAAATTAAATGCACAAATCAAATTAGACTATACTCTAAAGTCACAAAGTGCAGACACAAGATTTAATCCCTAATTTGTTAAAAACTTAATATTTTGAAGGTCTTATTATAATAAAATTCATCGGCTGCACTATTTACTTTGACGGAAAGATCAACTGATAAAAGTTTGGACTAAGAGCTTCTTGTGGCGCAGTGAGTCTTTCCTGTAGACGAAGGAAGATATAATACCATAGCAGAAAATATATCGCCGAAGTGCCATAGATTTTGTTACTACCTTAATGTCTCGGAAGCCACACCATCCAGTGGAAGTACATTTACGAAACCTGAAGTACTCGAGAAACCAAAGCTAAAGTCAATCGAAGTATTGCTTAGACCCTTCCTTGTTTTAAGCGTCATCCTCCTAATCGAGCGCTCCCAGCCGTCAACCTCCCTCATCATTCACCACAACCTAGTCGGCGCTATTGGAAAACCACCCACGAACAAACCACGCTAGTGATCGGTTTTACGTGCAGCTGAGAAGATACCTGGCCGCGACGTCACTTATTCCTTGTGACAATTTTACTGAATCTGAAGTTTTGCCTTCTTTTGGAACTATATTGGGAGAAGGAGAATGTGCATTTTAACTCAAATGGCCAGGGTTGGTCGTAAAAAGAGCTATTTAATAAAGAATGGTTAAACTGCTTCCTGGAGATAGGTTTTCAAGGCTATTCATCCTTACCACTGTGGTTTCAATTTAGTGCCCCCCCGCCACATCGGCCCGAGTTCTACCCAGCTAACAGAGAAGTAAAAAGGGTTTTGCGTTTTCACTTAATTGACTTTTTTATACATTTTTGCAGATAGCTCTGTACGAAACTTTTGGAACGGTCTACGGCTAATGGTGCTTCAGGTACTAGAAGCTTTCCTATAAAACAAGGGACTGAGGCGGTTGCTAAACCCTGATTTCATCTTCAAACCTTCCGTTGGGAATCGCCACATTAAGGTTTAGCATTCAGCAGTTGAAATCAGAGCAGAAGTCATTTAGGATCAGATTTGCTTTCCCATGCCTCCAACATAGTTCCACCTACCATTCCTGAATTTGAAAAGAATACATAATTCCAGGGCAGAATATGTACTACAGAAATACAGAAGGGCTAGGATGATACCAGCGTGCAGTGGTGGAACCTTTATTGCCTGCGATTCGACAAAGAGTAGTCAAACAAATACATAAAGTACTACACAATGATCTACAATGTAGATTTAACGCTACCCATTAAAGTCTTCTGTGCTCTGGAAGCTTGAAATTAAACGCTAACCTATGCCCTGTCAGTGGGTGATAATGACTATTACAAAACTAGATAGATCTATTGTCTTGATTACTTATATTTTTACACAGCAAGTACTGATGAAGCTGTTCTACGTCTACTTGCTTGCAGTCCGAAAATGGACTGTAAAATCTGAATACACCAGGGTGAAGACAAGAAGACAAAAAATGGCAGAATATGAAAAATTATCACTCAATCTCGAATTCTATTTGATCAAGTTTTAGTGAAAGATGAAAGAAAGTATCTGGAGATTTAACTACAATAATCGTGAATATAAATTTTGGGCATCAAATCCCAATCTGACTGGAAAAAATACAAAATTATTTTGCAAAGGCAGACGATTAAAGTGTTGAGGTGGGATGTAATTATGAACCCGTCACTTTGCACTAGTCTAGTAATAACAACACCTTTTGTGAAAGAAGTGTCGACCAACACAGTTAACAAGCCAAAATTATTGCAGGTTATTTGCGAATTTCGCAAATCAGCAGTTTGGCATCTTTGTTTGGATTTGTAATTTTATCCGATAGTCGTAATCTGTCTCACAGTAAGTCTTCTAACAGTAGTCCTAGGTTATATCAACAAGGAAATCTCCTAGTAATTTGTGAGGAAGGCAGAAGAGAAGAAATAGAACTTTGTTACATAAGGCTTTTAATTAGCTTAGTTTTGTTCTCTTGTTTATTGAGAGAATTGTCACTTTAAATTAATAATGACTGCAAAGGCTAGAGATTGCATTAAAGAGAATGAGCATTTCACGTACTCTTCAGGTGACAGAAGGTGAACAAATAGTGAAAATTATCTTCGCTAATAAGTATGCTTAATCTAAGATTAGCACTGGCGGGAAAGTCACATCTATAGGAATAAAAATAGGATTTGTCTACCCTCAGATTAATGACAACCTCGAGTTCAGTAGTAGTTGGTGAATCGGAGCCGTAAGAGTTGAGATAGACTGCTAAACGTTAATCATCCAAAATTTGGTTCAGTATCACAAGGAATAAGGCACTTTTGTTTCATACTACGACTATATGCGAAAGTGGTATTTTGTAAACTCCGGAATTATACAAAACATAACTATGATTCAGCATACTACTCAGAATGGTTCTAAGTGAAATGAGTGGCACACTTTAAAGTCCTCAACACCTTGCCACTTTAAAAGTTATTATTTAAATAACCATTGGATTGAATTTCTGTAACTGTGAGAATCTTAAACAGTCAATTACATTCATTATGTGTTTTTGTGCCACTCAAAGTAAGCCTATCCCCTTAGGCACTAGACCAATATAAGTAAATACTCATCAATGCGGGTTTGGTCAATAAAACCAGGGGATTTATTAATAATTAACGCTGTGTACAATAATAAGGAAATTAGGTTTATGGGAGTCTATCATAATAACCGGGTAGATTTGTGTCTTGAAAGTGGCATGCAGGAGATGCATGTTTTGACCAGAACTGCATTAGGGAACTGCACATTTATTTGCACGCCTAGAGGTTCTTGTACAAAAAGACGAGATTTAATAAAACGTTTCACTTGTCTGGTTGGTGAGTGAGAGGTTTGGACTGTAGCAGGAAAAACTAGGCATATGATTATATTTGCTCCTCATCTCTCGCCTGACTGAATGAAAATTACGTACTTCCAAGCAACTTATTTGCAAAAAATATGCTGAAAAAGTAGTATTACCCAAAAAACTTACAGCTCAGCGATACTTCAAAAGGACATGGAGATTGAAAGATAAATCCCTTATTTGTTTATTTTTATTTACTGTTACCTGCATTTTAAACTGAAAATATTATCCCACTTGAAAAGCGTCTAAAATGCCTTGGTATGACCGCTGGTGCTGTGCTCCCTTGCTGTCTATAAATTTTTTTCAATCCCGTGCATGTTATCACTTTAAATACATCTGCAACATTGTAGAATAATAAGTATCCACATTACTTTTTACAAGCTCAGGAAATTTGGTATCTCACATTTACCCATATGATGCATGTGTAGATAGGCCTCCATATAGGTACTTCATCACTTCATATCTTTAAAGAGAGAATGGTGCGTAGCTTAATGAATAATTTATTTTACAGAGATGCGTTGTAGTGACAAATACTACAGAGAAGTTAAGGACTTTTTTGCTCTGGTAAAGATTAGTCTATCCGCAACCTCTGTAAACCAAAAGATGAATTATGAAAAAATATGTAGCTTAGAAGTGTATTTTTAACCATGCGAATCCACTTTTGGTTTACCAGTTAGATGCCGGCATGTATTGTAGCCCCCCAAGACTTTCCTAGCACTGTGACAGAAACTGTATTGCAAAGGTACGAAAGGACTAACAGACTATTGCATGACCTGGAGGCCATTCCGCCCATCGGAAATACTAGGGCGGAGCTTAAGGAGTCCGAGAAGCCGAAACTAAAGGTTGAACAAATTATCTAGTTTTTTGTAACATACTCCGAAACCATTCACAAAATATTAGTACAGTCTCCTTCATTAAAAGATGTTTTAAATTTTAAAATAAAGAAATTGCTTCCTGCGTAGGTTCAGGGGAAGTAGGGTTGAATGGTTTTTCATTTAAGTGTACTTTGGGCTTTTGTGAATTTCTAAGTTTCAAATTCTACTTTAAAAGCACTCGACATGCATAAATTTACAAGATCATGAAAAGCAACCCTTTCCTAAAAAGTTGGTGTTCAGAAATAGACTTTAAATTTTTGGAACAAGTCTATAAACAACTTCCTCTCATTTACGAGATGGGATATCTCTAACAAGCTCGATGGTCTTGTAAACTGTTTTTTTAGAAGGAAGATTTGTAAATACTTCTGAAGATACACCGATACTTTTCTTTCTGGACGAAATCAGTGGGGTTATTTTTTCCAAAAGGGGTGTCTGACTTGCTTGCGTGAATAAAAGCAAGGTAACTAAAAGTACCTAAATAAAACACTTTTTCAAATTAAGTGTAGAGCCAATATCTTTAAACAAAGTGTCCTATACTATGGTTGATTAAAATTTTATTAAAGTTGTGTCAATACGATTAGGCCAATCCATTTTTCCTTTCCCGCTTTGTGTAAGTGGGAAAAAAATGGACAGTTAATGCACCTCTTCATAACCGGAGTACCTCAAGTCTTTCCTGAAAATTGAGGTGGAATATCGTTTGTCGACGTGCAGATGGGCTAGAGGTATGCTGGAGCGGATCAAAGGCTGCGCCGCACAGCAGAAGAACAAATGGCAAAGCCCAAGTACCCACGTAACCAAGGCAAAGAGCTAAACAAAAAACCCAAATTTACACCCTTCCCTCCCTACTTTGAGCATTTTCACCCCTCTGAGTCGCCTCTCTCAGTATCATCAGTGCTGTAAGGAAAACATCCACGAGCCAACCACAAGAGTCAACGAATTGGTATTCAACTTAGAAGGCGCTTGATGGCAGCATCACTGATCCCTTTATTAATTTCACTAAATCAAGAGTTTCGTCCTGTTTAAGAAGTGTACTGCGGGAAATGGGAATGTTCTAGCTATCTCATACATCCATTGCTAGTCGCAAGGATACTGAACTAACAGCAAAGCCATTGAATAAAGATGGGTGTTTATAACAGTTTCAGGCTTCGCGTTTGTTTCTTCTTGCCATGTTCTTACTTTCGCGCATATTTGATATACCTACCTGGGTTTTGTGCAGCCAATAGGGGATAGAGGAGGTATCCTGTGCTCACTTATTTGGCATCTTAAGATAGCCCATGGCTAGCATTGATTCACCTGTTGAAACATGAAACTAGGGTAGTTGCCAAAGCTTCGCCAAAGATTCTACCATTCGCAGCACACATCCCTCTTAGTCGCATTATGATTTAGCATTTAATAACAAAGATCGGAGTGGATATCCTCTAGGATCAAATTTGATTACCGCTGCCACAATTGCAGTACCTTAAGTCCTTTCTGAAGGCAAAGCAAGTCATAATACTAGAACAGAATAGGTATTATTTAAACCAGAAGGGCTAAAGCTACTGACATGACTCAGAAGCAGTGCTATACAGTGGATGTACAAAGGCAGAGCCTCTGGTGCTTGAGAATCCAAAACGAAGATTTAAACGAGCAATTAAATTACGGCAATTCCATTCGAACACCTAAAAATCGCGATAATTCTACATTTATTAGCAAATTTTAATATATTTTGCCTAATTTATGTTCGAAAGAGCAATTTTTTAATTTTAAGCTTGGCAATGAAAAGACCTATCATTTTGCTCCTTCAATGAATTTACCACCTTATATGTACACTCCAATGTGTAGTTAATGCAAAATATTAGTTTTAGAAGCCAGGAAATGAACATTTTTGAAGTAAAGGATCTTTTTGCACTAAAACTTGCTTGGATGTTGAGAATCTGTTAGTATTCGGAAGCACATCTCGTGCAGAATTTTCTGTTTATGAATTTAATTGGATAAGTCATTTGAGAACCTGCTTCTGTTCAAAATTCGAAGAAAGCCATTTTCCCACAAGTTATATTTTTAACCACTGTACACTTATCCTAACCTCGAAATTGCCTCTCTTTTTGCTTTTTTGATGAAATTTTGACCTTAAACAATAAGGGCTTTTACTCTCCCACTGCTGTCGTATTTCCGCCACACAGGGGACAAAAGTCACATAACTATGATGCGGCAAGTAGTATCATTATCTCTTTGAAGATAGAATGCTCACAAAAATTAAGCTTTTTAAAATTCGACCAATCTGTACCTCTCAATTTAACTCAAATGCAGGGCATTAAATCTCCAAAAGATGCCCTTAAGCGTTGGTACTTTTATTATCTTAGTTAAGATCTAGATTAAAAACAAATTATTTCTTTTGATTTTCCCTGTCTCCACTTTGTTAGACCGGAAGTCAATAATTAGGAACTGCCAAGACTCTTCTCCTTATGGCACTAGAAATTGTCTTTATGTATCCTAATAAATGTGGATTGCTACAGCGGAATTGGGATGTTATCAATGATAAAGTAACGACAAAAAAGTCGAATTTTTTTAGTATTCCTATATTAAGGCCCTCATATCACTGCAAAAGCCTCACATTGACATGTCAACCAAAAAGTAATATTTATGAATGATTGAACAACTCTAAAGTAAGTGATCAAAGAAATTATTCTGAAATTAAAGGTTCAACCTCTTTGAAACGCCATATCTAGATCATCGTTGGGGGGTCATCATCAAATGTTTCCGCAGTTGTGTGGAATTTTTAATGTTATGTAAAGAAATCGACTCCGATAACCGGTGGTTTTATTACCTTTACTTAAAGAAATTTTATGTTCTTATTCGGTGTGAGTTTGATTATTGTAGCCTCTTTGAATGCGTATGTCGCATCGAAATTATTGAGCGATACTTCTTCCATAAAATTAACGTAAATATAAATACTCATGTAGTATTTTAGTATTAGTTTAACCCTAAAGTTTTGCCTTGCGGGCACTTAAAAGTCGGTCATTGTACCTGCGCTAGGTGGTCTGGCCTCTGGGCCACGACAGTAGCCACTCAGCTATCTTGTACGTCGGCAATACATTTTTATCATAGTATGACGACGCGACATTGGCAACGGCGGAGTGAGAACCCAATCCTAAAGAACAATCACATTAGTTGCTATTACTGAATGCCAAAATTTAAAGTGGTGTAGATGGATGAATCTGTAATGATCTCTAACAAGAGCGCTGAAAATGATTAGTTCCTTCGGCATCTATTCCAGTCCCGTATTCTGTTGAAAAGCTATTAATAAGTGAAGCTGCACTAGCCTCTGCCGTTAACCACCTGAGAAACGTTCTCTACAGAACTGTCTATGGTACCGGCATGGGGGGCCAAAGAAGGAGGAGCTTCCAACCCCTTGCTAGCTGGACAGAATTTAGATAGATATTACTGGTCATAGCTAAGGCGAGGGCAAAGCAGCAAGGAAGCATGATCACAAAACTTAATTCCCAAGACGCTTTTTTAAAACCCATCCTTTTTAAGTGACTTACCATCTAGGCCAGTGCTCTAGCAACCGGCAAAGGACATACGAGATAGCCATCACATTCCCTGTTCTCTTAATCCAATTTTGCAACAGGACAGAACTTTGGATCCGGTAAAATGGCGAAGTGAGATCAAAGATGTTACCTTCAAATGCCTTCTCGTTTGTATGCAAATTTGATGGCTGGCGGTTGACCAGTGGGTGTTTTCCTTAGAACACCGTCTAAGTTGTGGTGGCCGAGGGTCACCATGGGGAGCGTCTGGGGTCGATGCGCAAAAGGCTATATAGTACGGTGCTGATTTAGTTAACACTTCATTTAGATTATGAGGACACCAAAGGCTGGGAATAGCTCCAGTAGCTCCCCACCCCTGCTGTACGTCGTCTTTAGAGAAGTCTCCGGGCGCAGCACTTAGCCCCTTAGAAGTCTATTATGCAAGGAATGGTAAGCTGGTAATTGCTGGTGGCTTAATAGTTCAAAATCTGAATTTTGTTTAAAAAACGATTTGAGTAATGTTGCTTTATTCAAATTCATCAAAAATGAACACAGGTACTAGGAATTTCCTTAAGTTGTTTATTTCAAGACGCTTCAATGAGTTCTTACTCCTTTACTCATTCAGTGATAAATTATTCCTTACATTAAATTAGTTTTTTGTACTAACGGAAAGCCCTCTTTGTTCTGCTTATAAAAATATCGTATTTCTGACAGTACTACTTCTGTCTATTTACTCAAAGAATCCAAAAGCATTTTCATCAAGGGTTAGTTTCACGCGCTTGGAGGATATCAAAATTTAGTTTATGAATTTCGGCCAGTTTAATGATTTACAAAAAATTCAAAAGAGTTATTTGAAATTTCTCCCAGGTTTTCTGTCCTTGAAATGCGTTAGTATATAAAAGAGGTGTAAAATTTTGTCTAGTTGATTAAAGGAAATAAGATTGCTTTATTTTAGGAAGCGACCTCGGTTATCATATAAGGTTCATTCTAAGTGGGTTGATTTAGGCTTTTTTTGCATCCAATCACCATTTTGGCATTCTAAAGCTACCTTGAAAGCCCCTCTGATCCACTTCTCATTATAACTATTTATGAAGTATGTTGATATATATATGTATGTATATGTGAATATTTATGATGAGAAGCAAACCAGATGGTCCTTTAAAGTAAACTCATAAAACTGTGGCTTTAGAATGTCGTGAAGGTGACAGTAGACGACAATATATTCACAAATATCAAAATGTCCTCCACAGGAATAACTTTCTAATGTACATCTTAAGTACTCACCAACTTAACAGCCCTATATTTTCCTTAACACGATTACATAGCAATCGCATCTCTTTGCAAAACTCTTCTAAACAGTGATAAAACGATGCATGCTAAAAAATACCGCACTCTAAGACTTTGCTTGTTCAACTCTTCGTGCCGGTCTCCGTGGGCATTGAAGGCTCCGCCATCGTGCTTCCGCTGAGTGAACTGGGCTCCGGAAGTTGTCTGTAGCCCTCCAACAATTCTGTATGTCGGCACTGCGTATTCTTCCCTGGTAGAATGACTTCTTTCGTCTTCAGGAAAGACTTGGGGGGCAACAGCATAGTACAGGGTAGACTGATTTAAAAAATCCCAAAATGCATCAAGAAATTCAATTTTACAAACACGTCAGACGCATTTTCTAACAACTTTGGCATAAAAAAATATTTAGCATATTCTAAAGTTCAGTTTAGTCCTTCAACGAAGTCAATGAGGCGGTAGCGGTGCATTCATTTGTTTGTATGTTTGAGCGTTTACGACTGTAAAAGAGAACAAAAAATTTTGACTTTTTATGTTAAAATCATATATTTCTGATAAAATCTGTGAGACCACACCACTTATGACAATGCAAATAGGACAATTTTTGACTGATGCATAGTTTTCGGGAGCATTGTTTAATGAGTACACAAAATTAACTACTCTTCCTATAACAAATTTTCACGTAAGTCGCTAGTTTTCGGTGTTTAGCATGCTTCCTACCTAAAACTTTTTGTAAATTTTTGCTAAAAATAAAATAAATGCAATGCTTTGGGTCCTTTCTGCATTCTAAAAACTGCTATAGAAAATGTCTTTTCAATATATGGAAGGGATAGAAGGCTACTAGCATGGCCTGGAGACCATGTCGACCAGTAAAGGCACAGCAAGGAAAATTAAGTGTCTGCAATACCACAGCGAAGTGTCATACAAACAACAAAAGTGTTACATAGCCCCCTGCTCCATTTGAGCATCGTCCCTGGCGTTATCCTTGGTCTAACATCACAGTGTATTTGGCGATATAAATCACTTACCAACTAACCGCGCCACTCGTCAAATTTGCTTCCAGCTAGGAGCATATTTTGCTGCAACATTACAATTCTCCCTTGACTATTCTGCTGAATCTCAAGTTTCGCCTTGTTTGAGAATGGTATTAGGGGAGGGAGAAATGCGATAAATATTTTATAGGGCCATCACTAGTAACGAGAACACTAGCCTAAAATTGGAGTCGTCTAATAAATGATAGAGTTTGAATTGGTTCTGCTGAGGTCAAGTTTTATCTTCTATCTTCGTTGCTAATTTTTACCCACTATAGCAGTGCTCAACAATATATTTACCTGAGTTCTCTTTAGCTGGTAGAGAGTCGGCGGTGTGCCATGTTTATTTGATTTACATCCTCATGTATATGGGTAGACAACCCCGTAACCGACTTTTCCGCATGCATCATGGTTAGTGCTATTTTAGGAGCAAGTAGCTTTCCTGTAGAATATGGATAGCTGCCGGGAAAGACACCATTTTATGACACTTCTCTTAGGGGTCATCGCAGAGCCCACCACCAGCGAAAATAAAATATTTCTCTTCATTCTTATTAAAGCTTATCATTTGTTACAGTAATAGGGGGATTGACCTCCAAGATCAGGTTTACTTTCAGCTGCCATCAGTGTAGTTCCCAGAGTCCTTCCTAAAGTAGGAAGTAATCATCATACTGTGACAGAAAATGGCTTGCCTATGTACAAAATGGTCGAGAGGCTACTGACATAGCCCAAAGACCATGACACCCACCGCAAGTATAATTTCAGATCTTTGGATGCCAATGTAACCAAAATTTGAGTGTTAAGCAAACATCCAATGCACTACGCAATCACCAACAAATTTTTATTTAACCGCAATCACTGACACTCTTGGTCTTATTTCACATTAAGCTTTCATTTGCTCGAATTTTAGACAGCCTTTTTAGCGCTTTAATGCTCTACAATTTTAGAGTTTCTATGTGATTGCTCAAGCCCTTTTGAGCTTGCCTCTTCCAGTAAGGTAGGCTTGTATTTACGAAGCAGAGTCAGTTCACAAAGCCTCCGTTCTCAATATTTGGCAACAATACTCACAAGTTATTGCTAGAGTTAACACACCTCAACCGAAACAGAAAATTCTGTCTTACTAGGATGTAACAAAATTACCTTAGTAAGGACTACTTTTTGGCTTATAAATTATGCTTGACTACTTATTTAAGCCCTTGTAAGTGGGGACTCTGTATGCCCCATTACTGCTTGTTATATTGAGAAAAAACAACTGATTTTAAATTTTTGAGATTTTTTACAGTTATCTTTCATCTGCTACCACCCAAAAATTTTGTCGCACGTTTAAGAATTTCTCAGTATTAAAACGGTGCTGTCGGTATAATGAATAATGAATGCCCTTTGAATCTCAAAGCCACTTCACATTAATGGGTGATCTGGGAGAAAGTAAAACAAAAATATGACAGTGTATATTAAGTTTTAACTATAAAATTTAAGTATGTAGCCCAAAAATTTTAAATATTTTGCCCATCTTGTGAGTAAATATTTGGTGGAAAATGACGAAATCCCATGAACTTTAAGGTAATGATGCTGATTGAACCCGTAGAAGGTAGTACCGTGGACGAGTAAAAGTTTAATTTTTCTTAAAAAAATACTTTCCTGCTAATTAGATATCATCCTACTTATCTGTATTGTCAAATAGTATAAATTTTGTCACTTCTCGTTTAGTGAATGAATTCATTCATTAGTTGATGGCACCCTCGAAATTTTACTATATTAATTTATCCATCCACGGTAGTAAATTTGAACCATTTGTCACAGTCGTTTGAGGTACCACTCATGGCACCTGCGCAATCTTTTTTCTAGGAAATAAAAAAGTGAGAAATACTTTGGTCGCCTGTTTAAAGGTTAATTTTGGTTGCACAGGCACCGAAGACTCTGCTCTTTGTTCTGACAGTGGGTGACATGGTCAAAGGCCATGGCAGTAGCACCTCAGCCCTTCTGTACATCGACAGTATGTCTTCTTTAGATTTTGGAAAAGACTTGACTCTCTACATTGGTGGCATTGGGAAGCAAATCATTTAAAACCATTTAAAAGACAGCTACTTTGATTTCTGCCGCTGAATGTCAAATCGTGACTTGACGGAATATGGGAAATGCTAAGAATGGGAGACACTGTGATGACACCTAACAGAAGAATTAAAAATTGAACCTACCTTCAGCAACTACCTTAGTCCCGTGTTATACAAAAGTGCTATTCACAACAGAAGCGATAAGAGTCGTATACTATCTGCGAAAGTTCGCTGCAGAACCATCTACAGTACCTCCCTGAAGATGTCAATTAAGTGAACACATAATACTTCCATTACCCCTCTACTTGATGGATAGAACGCAGACAGCCATGTGGTTGGGCAGCACAGAACAGAGGACAAAGTGGCAAGGAGAAACAAGTGCGAAACCTTACGCCCAGGAAAGTATTTTAAGCTTGTCATTCAGTGAGTGTCTCTGTTTTGGGCGAGTGGTCTTAAAACTGGCAATGATCATACTAGATGCCAGGACATTCCGTAATAGGGCAAGGTTCCAGATTCATTGGAATTGTCAAGTAAGGTAATTACCGTTGGGATCAAATGTTTTCCCAGTAGTCTGCAAATTCAATAATTGGTGCTGTTGTTTTTAAGTATTTTCCACGCAGCACCAGCTACTCTGTGATGGCTGACCAGGGGAGTCCATTAAGGGAGGTACCGAGGTCCGCGCTCAAAAGGTGAGGAGGACTATGTAATTCTTTGATTTATTTGTTAACCCTTCATTTCGATTACGAGGGTACTTAGGGCCCCGTCATTGTACTTGTGCTCGGTGGCATGGATAATGGGCCACTCTAGTAGCCTCTCAATATCCTGTCCTTCGGCAATACTTCTGTCCTAGTATTATAACTTCATTCTACTTCAAGAGAGACTCAAAGGGCAACCCACAGGCTAAATTATAGGCCCATAAATGTGCAAATACTCTTTTATCTTTGGTTCATTGATTCTGATGCCTGTTGCAGAATCCTGGACTAGATTTCTGCGGTCCATGGCTTGACAAATTCACTTAGTAATCTGCCTTCTTGAGGGTCTCATTCTCAATGTTAAAAGATTATGAGAAAAAATAGTTCATTATTTATACAACAAATTATGATATGGTCGCGAATTTTAGTAATTTTTAACCAAATTTAGTATGCAACTACCGCTGATTGTTTCATGCAACCTAAAAAGCAAAACTAATTTACCAGCTTTGACCTTTTCATAAAAATTTATCTCCATTGAACACTCTCAAAAAGACAAAACATGCTTTAAAATTGATTAATCTATGTAAAGCATTTTTTGAAAATCAAACGATGGCTATGAAGCAAGCTTTTTTATACCCCACTCATCATTTCATAAAGGTTTTTAGCAGCCACTATAAAATGTATCAGATGTGAATTTACGATAATACCAGCTACATACTCCACGCACTAGCAGATCAAATTGTGGTTTGCTTAAAGAATAAAGCTTTAAAGCAATCTGTCATAAAACTCACTCTCTGTAAACACACACAAGAATGAATCAAAGCCAGTTGGAAGATATGTGCCTTAACAATATTGATCACTGGGGACACACAATTTTCTGAAGCCATCGTGACACCAATTAGCAGTATCGAAATCTCAATATTTGCTTGACTCTCCTGCAGAAGAATATACACAGAATCACATGAAACAAAAACTCCTGTAGAGTGCTAAATACTTAGGTTATCTTGGCTTATGTGAATCGAGAGGTGTGAGAAAACCTGACACATTATAACGGGTCGCAACGAACAAGTTAGTCATTATTTTCTACAAAACCTTGTGAGCAGAAAAAGCATAAAGCCAGTGCTTCGCAGGTAATATTATTCCTCTCTCTGAATTTTCGCAAATCATCTCGGTTTATTCTTTAGCAATAAAATCTCAAATGCAACGATGAAGAGTTATTACCGGAAATAAATGAACTATATTCTAAAAATCCGATAAAATTACTAGCAACTCTACTTCCAAATTGATGCCCAATTGCCAAACACGAAGGCCTGCTTGGCCAGTAACATCTTGGCTACACCATTGGCCAATTCGAGGAGGCATTCCATTGGTCTCGTCTCCTCCTCCCAATTAGTGGGAAACTACATATTAGCGGACCAATCAATTTTCCCATCTTAGCTATTGAAGGCACCCCAATTTGATTTTTTATCACGTTTTCAACCGAAAGTCAATTCAAATGCTTCTAAACTATGTTAATTTGCAATAATGCTTCCGGTAGGTCCCCTCTTTGGCATGCTTTTGGGTTTTGGGTGAGACTATTTTGTGGAAAAGGTTATCATACAATATTAACATTTCACTGCGTCTGGGAATGTTCTTGAAATTTGCTCCACTCTAAGCGAGATCTTGTCTACCTTTCGCTTCCTTCATGTTTTATTGAGTCTTGAAGCCTAGTGTGCCTTCGTTTTACAAAAAACCACCCCTAAAATCACAACAATTAGGAAAATCTTTAGTAATTTTGGGTATTTAGAAGTAAAGATGACATGATTTCAAAAATACCGATTGGCAATAGCTTGTTTTTAACCTTATCTCACTGTATTAACTGTCAAAAAGTTTTCATAGAAAAATTTCTACGTAAACAGCCATAAATAAGTGGTATCGTTTTTAAACGGGATGCTTTTGAGATAATTAACATTTATTCTTTTTTTGTACTTGCATGTTCATATGCTATATTGTGGCAATGGCGGGACCTACTGCAACTACTCTTTGCTTGGTTATTTTGGACCTCCGGATAGCCCTTAGAGAATGGCGAATGTAGGGTAAAAAACGCTATCATTTGAGAAGTTCGAGCACTCGGAGAACTTTAAAGCTGCGCAATACTCAAATTCTGATTCCTTTCTCCCGCGCTTTACCCAAAAACTTCTTTGGACTGTATTTAAAACTAAAATTATCCTTCTTGCTTCGTTAAATACGAAACTATTTGATAAGTTTTTATTGTATAGCTTCCCAATCTGCGTCTCAGAATGTGAATTAAGTAAATAAATGTCGCCGCTAAAGTTTCACTATTATTTTCCGATTTGAATGAATTTTAGATACAAACTTTTCTGTGGAGTATCTTTCACAGCAAATTTGGCATTCGGGTTTGAGCAATAGTTTTGAGAAGATACCTATCATATTTCTTAAAAAAGGTGTCCTGCAAGACATTTAGGTTATATTAATTGAAGACCCATTTTGGTGATATTTGCTGACTTTAAGAACCTTTATTTGTCCTTCAGTGTGAGGACAAACAAGAATGTGGGGAGTAAGTGACCTTCGTAACAATTTTATGAGCACTGCCTTTGGAGGGAATGCGACACCATTGCAGCTTTTTATTTGTTCAAATCTCGGTTTTGATAACGGGGCCCTTAAGACTCTGCCGGTTGTAAATGCGCTAGTGGCATGTTCTCTGGGACATGCCAGTAGCCCCTCAGCCATTCTGCTTTTGTTAATACATATTCTACCCCAGTATTGTGCTTCCTTTCCCCTTTTATAAAAATCTTTAAGCGCTGCACCATGCCATACACATTCACATAACCGCTTCCTTTTAACCAAATGATTAATCATCCGAATGAATGAAGTTAACCCGAATAAAAGTAAATGTCGCGCTTCCATAACTCTCCCAGACTATTGTAACTAAAATGCTTCAAATGTCTTGCTTGAAGTAATTGTTTATTTAAAACTTCCCCATTGTCAAATTAATCAGAAGTAGTTGTCATAGTGTCCAACTCCCAAAGGCTTGTTTTAGGAAGTTTCAATTAACATTTCTCATCCTGTTATGGTTCTTCAATTAAAAAACCCCTCCATTTGCAACGTATACTTTTCCGCCCTCTGTGTTTCGGTCTCTTTTTTGCAATTTAAATTGGCCTGTGGGAATGTTTGAGAATAGTTGGCTGCGTGATAAGTTTTTCCATGGAAAGTGAAGAATTAACGAATCATTTAGCTTGTTGTGTTTTTACGGCTGATAAGATTAAAAGGTAGGCGGAATAATAGTAAAAAAGTTGACCGTTTTATTTAGTTAGTTAGACCTATTGTTTTTGGTCAAAAAATTGTTTCATTAAAATGGGGTGTGATGGATGATGAAATATTGTAAACATTTTGCTGTTCAGCCAATCTACCGGCATTCTGACCTAAAAATTTGCTTTTAAGTTTGATTTATTCCAATGTTCGGTTTTTAAAGCATCTTGTATTATTTCTTTGGTTATCAGTCTCAAACAACGACAACACTTTCCAAGCTCTTCATTACATGTGAGTGAGTGTTGCATTACTATCACCAACTCAAACCGCGACTTATTTTAGTCCAACAGAGCCAGGAGAGATCGTAATTTATCAAAGTAAATTTCATGATACACTTACATCACTGCATCCCTGACTTCCCATTACAAACATATAGAGTTTTGGTAGAAAGAAGACGTTAAAATTAGGTTATTTCCATTTAACCTACTGAAGATACGCAACCGCTAAAATAAAATCACAACAGCTACTTATTTTGATTTCAGCGGGAAAATGAGTGGTGGCAAATGAGACATCTGTAAGAATGTAATTGCAGACTTTAGTTTGATATAACTAGCAAATATAGTTGTTCATGATACTTTTGTTGCACGTTGCCTCTCTCATACGCTTTTCACATATTAAATAAATCAAACTCTCCTAGAATTCATATCTGGGATTTCAAATTAGTCTTTAGGAATAGGTGGTTAATCAATTAACCACAAACAATGGTAAGTCCCACAGCCAATTTTAAAATGAATGCTCCATTCAACAATGGTAGAATTTCGCTTTTACGCGCTATGGTGTGTCCTTTAATCGCCTTAAGGATTGTTTGTTGTTTACATGTGAGATAAGGCATGTCTTTGGACTTACTGTCCATCACGCCACTCTCTTTTTATTACTAAAACGCATTCAATCACGCCCTCCGAACAATTTATGATTAAAAGAGGAGCAAAGTATCAAATTACCCCATTGGTTCTCTCAGTTACACAACAGTAATAAAAGTTAAATTGTTAACATTTTCAGGAAGACAAAATAGCGGTGCCAATATCAGTCTCTCCGAATTTTACTGCGGACTTCCCTGGCAATAACACTACACCGGAACCAATTGGATTTTGTTGCGACACCTCAAAAAACGTAGTTAAGATTCTCTTGACGGCAGTTGCCTGTTTGGGGCTAGTAACAAACTGCATGATTGTCATCGTCCTTACTCAACTTCGGGGATCGCATCCTGTGGGTAGTGGGGAGCGCTCAGCGAGGTTCAACCTCCTGGGTCTAGCGATCGCCGATTTCTGCATTTGCCTTTCAACTCTTCCTCTTATCTACTCCAAAAGAACCTACAAAAAGAATGACATCATGCTATACTACACATTGTTTGGTCCAGGCCTTGTGTCCACTTTCCTTACCGTTAGTGCATGGATGGTAGTTCTCGTTTCCATTCTCAGGTACCTAGCCGTTTGTTGGCCTCTAAAATCCCGCTTCTACCTTCGCTGCAGAAGTGTCATTTATGCTATTGTGTCCATTTACTTTGCTGCATTTATCTTCAATTTTCCTCTGTTTCTTCAGTACGATTATGAAGAAATTGTCCCTTTTGAACATGAGACACAACTTATGGGTGATATCAAGTTTGTGCATATTGTTGACCGAATTTACCCACATTCCGATTTACTGAAAGACATTTACAATATTGCGTACATTATTTGCACCAATGTTGGACCTTTTATAGTCGTACTGGTAACAAACATCTCCGTAATAGTTGCTTGCAAAAGAAGCGAAATAATTTGCGAGAATTTCGGGAATGCAGAGCAATTAAGATTGACTAGACCGCCGACTAGTTCCTCTGTAAGCTCGCCTAACAATCAGCAAGTGGAAACTTCAAATTTACAAAATGTCTTTAATGCTCAACCGCCATCTACAACCTCTCAACAACGGACCATTCAGCGTTGTCACAATCTGAGACCTCGAGCTCTTCACAGAGTCACACCTCTGCTGCTGGCTGTCATTTTTGCATTTCTGCTCCTCTCCACACCCTTCGGAATAGTCCAGTTTGTTTGTCTTAAACTGATCGACAAAATTGGTCACAGAATAAGTGAAAACAATCAACTACTTCAACAATACTTTATTCTTAACCGTCTCCTTGAATGGACAAACTTTCTCCAAGTTTTCGGCTGTGCAGTGAACTTCTTCCTTTACTTCATGGTCTCGCAAACCTTCCGACGCACCACTAGGCGCACATTTCGACGGATCCTTCAGCGTTTCCGAAGACGTAGAGGTCTAAGCCATTTGTGCGCTTACATATTTTCGGTGTGTTGTTGTGAAGAGCGACGATCGTGTAAGAATGAGGCCTATATTGTACGTGTCTACTCCCCGATTGAGTGTAAAAATCACCAAAGGCACGCACGGCCGGTGAAACCTTTACCCTTGTACCATGAAAGGAATCTTATGTCACCACATCTGGATCTGAAACAGCACCTTCGTCCTAAATCAAAGTCCTCAGGATCAGCTAACAGTGTAACTAAGGAGGCAGAACGAATTGAGCTACAAATGCAGGAGGGTATGAAATAAGGATGCTTGCTTGTACATCACCTCAGCCTACTTTGCTATCGTAAATACAAGCAACAGTGCATTTTTGTATAATGTGGTGCCTTAAATTTCTTTTATTTTCTAAGCGTGAATAATTTAAGAAGTCGGAATCAGTTTTTGACCATATTTTAACTATGAATGCGTAACTCCAGGTCAGGTTATTATCGCAATCATTTAGAGGATTGAACATTGGTGGATTCCGCTACATGCAATTATCTTTAATGGCCCACTTTACTGGTTAGAAGCAAATGTCTCCACTTTTATAATCCTTCTAGGGATCCCGATTCCCCCAATTTTAATAGCATATATGTCTAAGGTTTCCTCAATGACTTGAGGGATTGTTTTTAACTACAAGAGGCAGTCTAGGCCATCTTAATTTACATTTATATGGCATTTATGGATCAGCTATAATTTACCTAAAGGTAGTAGTTAATGTTAAAACATGTTTTATTAAAAGACATAGAACTAAAGGAGGTCTTATTTGCCTAGAGAAATCACTTGGTATCCATCAAAGTAATAAAGTGGCCTTCGCACTCGGATGCCAAGGCATTTAAAAAAAGAAACGAAAAAATTTAATGCCACTTTTTGTTATAGCATCCATTGAAAAATTTAAACTGTTGCTTAAGCATAATAAGGAAGTGTTTTGTTTCCTTCCACTTGTTTACAACGGTTTTATGTGAAGACTGCAAATGGTAGGCTAAGCCAATATCACCACCAAGAGGAGGAGGGGAAAAGGTGCGTTTTTTTTGCCTTTTATAGACTTATGTTTGGTTAGAACTTATCAGGGTCACGAAAAGTTTCCCTGGTACCCAACCTCTTTAATTATTTCTGCTTATTTTTTAAAAGGTTACTTTACTGGGGAGATGACATATGCAGTCTGAAGGTCCTCCCGCAATTTAACTAGCCATTGCGAAATTTTTGGATGAGTCTCATGCGCAAATTTAATAATTATTTCGTTAAACTTGCCACCACAATTTCGGTAGGCCCCACCGCAATGGCCTGTTTCATTTTTCAATCTCTCTGTATTCTCTCGAGCTTACGTCCATTTGCCTTCTATTTTGAGCTTGCCTGTTTTAACAAATTGAGGCTAAGTTGGTCTCAAGACTGCAGAAAGATGCACCGAAATTTGTTGTATGGCATTTGGAGAAGGCAGAGTATGAAAAGGTGCCTTTGGGGAATAATTTAAACAATCCGTATTATTTAGGTGTGAATACTTCTTAAGGACAAAGGCTTGATTACGAAGATAAATGTGTCGCTATCGAGATCATCTTGTTGAGGACTTGAATGTTAACGAAACATTCCATTTATACCTACTACAGCCGGAAAGGGAGAGTCATGAAAGTTAGCGGTGGCTAATAAGCTTCTAAGTTTACCGCTTCGCTCTCCAATTCCACCAAGTGACACATAAACGACCCACAAGCTTTCATTTGTTCGCTGAATGGTTGAATTAGGATGAGGAATGGCTTTTAGCATATCCAAACTCTTCAATCTAAAAAAGACTTATCAGTAGTTGCCTCTAAACAGTCCATCCACTCGACCATCTACCCTGCTTTTAGGGTGCTACCTTTTTATTGGAAGCTTGTGCACTCTTTGTGTTTTGACCATGTAATCAAAGACATGGATGAAACCACCCTCTTTGAGAATGAGCCGGAACAAATTAGTCAGTCAGAATAACATCCATTTTTTCCAAATACAATGCATGGCTTAACCGCATACCTAATCAAAACCTACTCATTGCAAGTTTACCACTTTAGAATAAGGGCGGAATACTGCCCAAATCCTTTATGCAATCACATAATCAGAGACAAAATGGACATTTAAAAAAGTGACGGTGAGATGGGAATGAAAGCAAAAGGACTAAGTATTTTGTTCCCAGGACCAAAAAGTTTTATAAACCTAAAACTTGTACACTTGTGCCTCATAGAGAAGGATTTAGAATTAAAATCCAACTTTATGAATCTATGCCATTGTCTTGGAATTCAACCACATTTTCTCTCTGCCGCTATTTAAGAAATGTTTGCTAAGTCAAATTTTTCTTTCCAAGGAATAAGGAACTAGGCTTAGACTTTTGTGCCTGTAGAGGAAGATACCCTACTTTGAGCGCTTGAAATCGATGCATGCCAGAATTTCTGTGTGGTCTGAAATTAATTGTGGTGGTCTAAGAAGCTAATAATTTAATTGTTACTCTTTTTTACGAAAAGCAGTTATAAGGACAATAAAGTAGTAGCGCATATGGCCTTTTGTTTTGAAAGTATTAGTAGACTATCAAAAAAATGTTTTGCTAATCCTTTTTGTTGGTCGAATGGCTTAATTACTTGCCTTATCGCATTAATTATTAGCGTGTTTCTAAGATGAAACCTCTGGATTACAAACCATGCATTTTAGCAGGTGGAACTATTTTTCCCGTTACCTAGGCAGACTAAAAATTTGCTCGTTTCCTTTAAATTACCCAAAGCAGTGGATTTGTCTCCTCTCCGTGGTAGGGAGTCAACTGCTTCTAGATCTATCACTATCTGGGAAAAAATAGTAAGATTGTTGGGTTGTCAAAGTGTACATGCATTTAGTGCAAAACACAAAAGTGTGATAAATTTCATTATTTGACTCACGATTTTGTTGGCGGGCCACTTAGGGCCCCTTCATTGTACCTCAGCCGGATATGCTGGCCTCCGGGCCCAGCCTGCAGTCACGGCTTTCCTCTCTACGTCGACAGTACATATTCTGCCTGAGTATTATTGTGTTCTTTGGTCTTCAGTGTAGTCCTGGAGAGATAAAGCAATTATCGTTGAGCAAGAATGCAGCAATGGACATTTCCATTCAATATTAAATATATTCAAAACAAAGCTAGCGTTTATCTACTTTCGCACCAAGCTTATTTTGTCCCTTTAAAAAACCATTCTTAAATGAGTAATTCTTCGTGTCCGACCTCATTATTTGTCTTTGGGAATATGCATTACCCAAAGGCCTAATTACTAAGGGGTCTCAATGCTTTTGCCTTACTTCTCGAAATCTCGCAGTTATGTTTATGTAATTACGTAAATAAAAGTATCCTGTACATTTAATTGACCCAAAGCCTTGGTCTACTGCATTTTGAGGCCTTTCAGGCTCCACTCCATTCGCTCACTGGTCAGAAGCCGAAATTTGGAAATGGTCATCAATTTTATTGTCATTAGGGCAATAAAGCTCACTGTGTTTTATTGGTTTGCGCCTGTGGTAGGGAATTCAATAATTTAATTACGCTTTTTAAACTTCCTAAAGTCACAAAATTCTACTGTATTTTTCCTTTTAGAATAAACCGAAGGCTGCTCCGAGTTTTTTTCCAAGATTAAAAAGTCATAGTGCTTGGGAAGAATATGTATTGCCAATGCGGGGGATGGCTGAGGGACTACTAATGTGGCCCAGAGGCCATGCCAAACTAGGAAGCTAAGGGAATCTAAAAATTATTTTAAAACCCTAAAACAGTCAATGTGCTAGTTGTTTGCCCTTACACTTGAGAGAGGTATGTGGGTTAAAATTACTGCCCACTATACAACCTTCATGGGACCACTTTTTAATGTTCCCTAAAGTTGCATTCCAATCAGAGTGCAAACCTTTATGACGTTGCCACGACGTTAACAACGCTCTACTTGCTGTGAATACCTTTTTTCAATCTTTATCACTTAAGCCTTGTTATGACTCCATTTTCACTCCAAAGCTTTCTTTACTGTGTAGAGGGCCGAATCGACTCGGTCCCTCCTTAAAACTGAGTATCAAAAGCAGCACATTAGAAGAGGAAAAAATCTCCCCAACATGCATTTGCACAGTAATGGGCAAAACACAAATGGCTATGAAGTTGCCAAAAAATGTGTCCCGTGGGCAAGCAATTCACTTAAATGAAACCATCTGTGTCAATCAACTTCTACCTGTTAGAGTAGCAGTAAAGTTATATGAAATTTCAATTTAAATCACATCAGCTTTTTGTGCACTGAGTTAGTAAAATTTTGAAGAAAGAGTGTATAACAGTGATTAGTCTTGGTGGGAGAAGTGGGAAGTCAACTTATTTTATTTGTTAAAAATGCTGCCATGGCGAATCTAATTAATCTTTTGACAAGAAATACAACAAGAATTTTTTGTTCCACTTCAACAAAAGCAGCATCGTATAAAGTTATTCTATCCTCATTGTTGAGCATTTATTTGCAAGCTTACCTAGACATCTACTATCATTACGTGTGCCTCGAGTGAAGAATACATGCAGGCTACATGCAGGGATTGAGGATTGTTCCCAACCCGGTGGTAACTGTATCTAATTGCTATGCTCCTAAAAGTGAAAAAAGATTAAATGCGACTAATGATATTCAGCTTTTATTTCGCCGATTTAAACGCCAAAGTACTTTGACACTGCAAGAGATCATTTAATTGGAATTATTTTGAAAATGATCAACGACGTAAGTAAATTTTTTGTCCAAAAAGGGAAAATTTAAGTTTACAGAGATATCAAATTGTGAATAAACATTGTTTGTTTAAGTTGAGTTTTAGACTACGTGGACAACTCAGTCGCCGCCATCTCGGTGTTGTGGTAATCCGTCCCAGCCACTTCTACCCTCAGGCCGTCATTCCTAATAAAGCTGTGTCCAGAGCCTAAATCGTATAGGATCCATAACAAAGACCTGGAGATTGCAAAACAATGAAGCTATAGCTTTGAGTTTGTGCCAACAATTAGCATACGGGGTAAATAAACACGTTCGTCGCCCAATTATTTAAGGGAACTTAGCCACTGCTATCCACAATGGTGCGTTCTAGTTAACAAATTTGTGGTTTACACGCAAAACAACAGCCCATATTTATTTTAGGGTTTTGGATTAAACCGATATGCTTGCCACACGCGGTTTGGAGCAATCACTTACTCTAAACCGTTGGAAAAGAGGTGAAGCTGATAGCGACCGTTTTAATGGAGATGAACTAAATCACCCAATGTTAAAAAATAACTGCTTGGCAATTTTGGCTCG